AGTACTAAACAACGTAAGGTCTCGCGACGTGCCGTGTCCTACTTACGGGACCTTTTATGGTGCATCCTGTGTGACATCACTGATTCAAAGTATATCATACTGTATGTAGCGTGATAGCAATGATACAGACTGTGTTACAGCACATATACTATGCCAACACAAGAAACGCATAAGTCACTTTCAGATGAATACATAATAATCAACAGATCATAGTAAATTGTTAAAATTTGGCCAAGTCTCCATGGGAGATGGCGGTCCATGGCGATGTTTCTGTAAAGAGTGGTATGTTTTTACTTGCTACACAGTTCTAATGACGGATAAATGAAAACCCATCGCTTCCGTAAGTCGACAATTCATGTTGCACGTTCATTTAAGGTTGCTGTGGTTGCCCCCACGCTCCAGTGTGGTTGCGTTTTCGCGTACCCCCACGTTTTCGGTATGCATTGGCCGTACTGTATTCCACCTTCACAATTCATCCACACTCTATGAATGCAGACAATAGACGTTTTTTTTTTATGAATATCAGCAAAACTACGTCAGATATTTCCAATTTACTACTTTAGCATTTCTTTTTTTGCAGAGTATATCGTGCTGCCTAGTGTATTACGATAATGACTAAGTGCGTGAGTTTAGTTTTACGCCGCACTCAGCAATACCCCAGCTATATGGCGGCGGTCTGTAAACAATCGAGTCTGGACCAGACAATCCAGTGATCAACAGCATGGACACCGATCTACGCAATTGGGATACGATGACATGTGTCAACCAAGTCAGCAAGCCTGACCACCCGATCCCGTTAGTCGCCTCTTACGACAAGCATTGGTTACTGAAGGTTCATTCTAACCCGGATCTTCACGGGTAGTATTATGATAATGGTACAGTATTAAGGTACGAGTGAATATTATCAACCTTACATCGTATTTACCATGCTGTATGCAATGTGATCCCAGGTGTTGGTGTCGTCATAGGTCCAGTCAACTGCCCACAACACCCGACAGCGACACAACACTACCACTACCCCACCACCAACAGGTGCTACTACTTCTATGATGCAGAACATACCCATAACGAGGCTGTCGGTCTTTGCGAGTCGAAGGACACAAGAGTTGTGGTACTTCGGACCAAAGATGAGCAGGATTGGCTTATTGAACGCATTTGTCCCCCAGGAGGTAGGAGACTAGTCATAGCTGATTACATTCAGTTAAAACGAGAAAACTACGAACATGCATTCTTCATTCTATTGAATATTCTAAGGAGACGGGCATTTGCTCGCCGAGCTAAGCTATTCATTTCAGTGGCACGGTAGGTGATTTTATTAAAGGAATTTTTTTTTTAAATTTACCAGTCAATCAAGTACATCTCATATATATGATGGCTACCCGTGAAGGTCCGGGTTAGAATATTGATCTTCAGCAACCCATGCTTGTCGTAAGAGGCGACTAACGGGTGGTCAGGCTCACTGACTTGGTTGACACATGTCATTGGTTCCTAATTGCGCAGATCGATGCTCATGCTGTTGATCATTGGATTGTCTGGTCCAGACTCGGTTATTTACAGACCGCCGCCATATGGCAGGAATATTGCGGAGTGCGGCGTAAAACTAAACTCACTCACTTACTCACTCAGTCATATGATGGCGCGGTTGTAGTCAGTCATTTTGCATTCAACGAGCATTTGGATAGCCTCTCGGTAATTCTTGAGGGGAGCAAAATAACGTATGGAAATTGACATATAAACGTTGAGCTTCTTTGAGTGGCATTTTAGAAGTTGGGAAGTACAATATAGAACAAACTTTATGGATAACAACTTCTTTTTATTCGTGAGTGCGACGTTTCGATACAGATTCTTGTACCGTTGTCAAGCATAATGGAACATGCTCTCTGTCTAGCCTACTATGTTAATTATGTTGTTTTCTTTGTTACATTGTTACATCCAGTATATATATATATAACGTTATCTTCCCAATAAGGTAATACTTCTTCATGTTCTTTCTTTGGTAGGTAATATCTTTCTTTGGTAGGTAATATGGCAATGACAATGCTTCTTTCTTTGGTAATACAATAAGGTAATACTGCTTCTTGCTTTGGTGGGTAACGTTATCTTTCTTTGGTTACGACAATAAGGTAATACTAACGCTTCTTGCTTCTTCTTGGTGGGTACTAACGTTATCTTAAGGTCTTTGGTAGGTAATATGACAATAAGGTAATAATTGCTTCTTGCTTCTTGGTGGGTACTAACGTTATCTTATCTTTGGTAGGTAATATGGCAATAAGGTAATAATAGTGCTGCTTCTTGCTTCTTGGTGGGTACTAACGCTTATCTTTCTTTGATAGGTAATATGACAATAAGGTAATACTGCTTCTTGCTTCTTGGTGGGTACTAACGTTATCTTTCTTTGGTAGGTAATATGACAATAAAGTAATACTGCTTCTTGCTTCTTGGTGGGTACTAACGTTATCTTTCTTTGGTAGGTAATATGACAATAAAGTAATACTGCTTCTTGCTTCTTGGTGGGTACTAACGTTATCTTTCTTTGGTAGGTAATATGACAATAAGGTAATATGACAATAAAGTAATAGTGCTTCTTGCTTCTTGGTGGGTACTAACGTTATCTTTCTTTGATAGGTAATATGGCAATAAAGTAATACTGCTTCTTGCTTCTTGGTGGGTACTAACGTTATCTTTCTTTGGTAGGTAATATGGCAATAAGGTAATACTGCTTCTTGCTTTTGGTGGGTAACGTTATCTTTCTTTGGTAGGTAATATGACAATAAGGTAATACTGCTTCTTGCTTCTTGGTGGGTACTAACGTTATCTTTCTTTGATAGGTAATATGACAATAAAGGTAATACTGCTTCTTGCTTCTTGGTGGGTACTATCGTTATCTAAAGTAATCTTCTTGGTAGGTAATATGACAATAAAGTAATACTGCTTCTTGCTTCTTGGTGGGTACTAACGTTATCTTTCTTTGGTGCTTGCTTCTTGTGGGTACTAACGTTATCTTTCTTTGGTAGGTAATATGACAATAAGGTAATACTGCTTCTTGCTTCTTGGTGGGTACTAACGTTATCTTTCTTTGGTAGGTAATATGACAATAAAATAAAGTAATACTGCTTCTTGCTTCTTGCTTTCTGTGATAGGTAACAATAAAGTATCTTTCTTTGGTAGGTAACGTTATCTTTCTTTGATGACAATAAGGTAATACTGCTTTCTTCTTGCTTCTTTGGTGTACTAACGTTATCTTTCTTTGATAGGTAATATGGCAATGGTAATAACTTTATCTTCTTTCTTTGGTAGGTAATATGACAATAAGGTAATACCGCTTCTTGCTTTGGTGGGTAACTGTATCTTTCTTTGGTAGGTAACTGTATCTTTCTTTGGTAGGTACAATAAGGTAATACTTGCTTCTTGCTTCTTGCTTTGGTGGGTAACTGTTAGGTAATATGACAATAAGGTAATACTGCTTCTTGCTTCTTGGGTAACTGGTATCTTATCTTTGGTAGGTAATATGACAATGAGGTAATACTGCTTCTTGCTTTGGTAAGTAACTGTTTCTTTTGCTTTGGTGGGTAACTGTATCTTTCTTTGGTAGGTAATATGACAAATGAAGTAATACTGCTTTGGTGAGTAACTTCTTGCTTTGCTTTGGTAATATGTAACTGTTTCTTGCTTTGGTGGGTAACTTCTATCTTTCTTTGGTAGGTAATATGATGATAAGGTAATACTGCTTCTTGCTTTGGTGAGTAACTGTTTCTTGCTTTGGTGGGTAACTGTATCTTTCTTTCTTTGGTGGGTAATATGACAATAAGGTAATACTGCTTCTTGCTTTGGTAAGTAACTGTTTCTTGCTTTGGTGGGTAACTGTATCTTTCTTTGGTAGGTAATATGACAATAAGGTAATACTGCTTCTTGCTTTGGTAAGTAACTGTTTCTTGCTTTGGTGGGTAACTGTATCTTTCTTTGGTAGGTAATATGACAATAAGGTAATACTGCTTCTTGCTTTGGTAAGTAACTGTTTCTTGCTTTGGTGGGTAACTGTATCTTTCTTTGGTAGGTAATATGATGATAAGGTAATACTGCTTCTTGCTTTGATGAGTAAGTGTATCTTTCTTTGGTAGGTAATATGACAATAAGGTAATACTGCTTCTTGCTTTGGTGAGTAACTGTTTCTTGCTTTGGTGGGTAACTGTATCTTTCTTTGGTGGGTAATATGATGATAAGGTAATACTGCTTCTTGCTTTGATGAGTAAGTGTATCTTTCTTTGGTGGGTAATATGACAATAAGGTAATACTGCTTCTTGCTTTAGTGGGTAACTTTATTTTTCTTTGGTAGGCAACGTGACAATAAGGTAATACTGCTTCTTGCTTTGGTGGGTAACTGTATTTTTCTTTGGTTGGTAACTGTATCTTTCTTTGGTGGGTAACATGACAATAAGGTAATACTGCTTCTTGCTTTGGTGGGTAACTGTATCTTTCTTTGGTTGGTAACTGTATCATTCTTTGGTGGGTAACATGATAATAAGGTAGTACTGCAATACATGTACATGATAATACACTGTGCCACTGAGCTGAACTACGTGGCCGAAGTCTAATCTCCAGTAGCCCTGTTGACACTGCGGATTGAACAAGTTGGCATTGTCCGGTGGCATGGGGGTAAGTTGCTCCTCGTCTCAGACACGGGTTCCTGCTATCGTTGTACACAGGCTGTCGACCCGTGAAGATCTAGGTTAGAATTCGTCATCAGCATCCCATGCTTGTCGTAAGAGGCGACTAACGGGATCGGGTGGCCAGGCTCGCTGACTTGGTTGACACATGTCATCGTATCCCAATTGCATGAAGCGATGCTCATGTTATTGATCACTGGATTGTCTGGTCCAGACTCGATTATTTACAGACCGCCTCCATATAGCTGGGATGTTACTGAGTGCGGCGTAAAACTAAACTCACTCACTCACTGTCTACAGCCCACGGTCTTTTCAACTGCCCTCAATCGTCGGCCAATGCCAATGACCGTCCTCTAATGCTATGGCTTGGTCTGGTCCGACAATCCTCCAACACCTGGTACTGGTTCTACAAGAGCATCCAATGGGACGTTGTCTCGCCACGATGGTTAAGTTCGTCAGATCCCGCCTCTCCCGGATACACCCGAGCAGTGACGGAACGGAACGGAAAGTGGCTAGCTGTGACCAGGCAACAAAAAGCCAAAGTTGTCTGTGAAGAAGTAAGATCAGGTATTGTTTGTTTTGTTACAGTTGCGGGTGTAGATGTAGTAGCTGTGGTGGTGGTAGTAGTTGTAGAAGGAGCAGCTCTGGTGGATGTTGAAGTGGCAGGTAGAGCAATGTTTTTTTTCTCCCATAATTTCTAAGCATAATTTTAAACATAACCTTATGTACAAAACCGCTCCCCTTAGTACGTGTGTACAAAATTGCTGACCACCGCTAGCTCGCCAGAACAAAATGGGTTAAACCACACACACACACACACACACACACACACACACACACACACACACACACATCATCATCATCATCATCATCATCATCATCATCATCATCACAACCCCCCTAGCCATAAATTATGAACGGTCTCCTAGGTAAACACAGTAGGGCAGACCGGGGGCAACTTTAACACGGGGCAATTGTAACGAGGGCGATTACTCTAAAAGTTTTCGCTCAAGCATAATGTAGGTGAGTAGAGTTATTTCCCTTTGCTTTCCTGCGGTACACATCCGGGCGTTTTTCAGCTGCTCGCTCATGGCTAGATACAGTAGACGAAAAATCCTTTTTTACATTAGAAAGTAAATTTTTCACGAAACGTAATAAAACGTTCTTAATGCAGTAAATGTTGCTTGGTATGAAATTAACTTTTCAAGTGTACAATTGAGGTATAACGACTTATTTTGAAGTAGAAATATGTGAGAAGCCCAACGTTGTTAACATGTGACGGCATGAAACATGGCTACTAGCATCGGGGGCAATTCTAACACTGTGTTACAACTGCCCCCATGTAATTTTCCCTTATGTTATGATAATGAAGCTAATAATGATGTCGGTTTTATGTTAGTTCTTTACTAGTTTCATCATAGTAGAACATTTTCAGTCTTATGTTGATAGTATCAACCCTCGGTTGAAAGTTTTTGGTGTTAGTTTTTGTATTATATTTTGTGCATACGAAAACAAGAAACTAAAAACATTTTTAATGTCGATGGTGACAAAGGTTTAATGTTAATCCATATCCACCTCAATTGATCAAGGTAACATCTTTCAACATTTCATTTTGATTTTATTTGGAAAATAAACAGATTCTTACATTCGAACCTTCTTTGTTACAATTGCCCCATCCACCTGTTACAATTGCCCCGTGCTCCGGGTCAATTGTAACACTTGCAGTGCAGTCATTGCATTTGATACGTTATGACTTTGTAACGACACGATCGTGAACTTTAAATGACACTGAGGTTTAAAGCCAAGATGTCAAAGTATTAGTTAGTACCGATAAACTTTGTGAGCGGTCGACTAATATCGAATTACAAGAACTTAAGTAAAAAGTGTTACAATTGACCCCGGTCTCCCCTAATTCTTAGACATGCCTTTATATATATTCTGTTCTTATTGTGCTGTTGCTTTCATGTATACCAGAAGATATGCCGAGGCCAGAATCACTGCCGCACTCAACACCACCAGCAACAATGATGATGCCTATCATCCCGCAGACACCCAGCGCATGCGCAAAAGTGGGGCAGGAAACAGACGACATCGCTGTGACGAACTTTGAACAACTGTCCTCCAGCGTGCGGGTCGCTGAGATGAACGTGACATGGAAAACATCAAGGCTAGCGTGTGCCACGACATGCTCTAAAAAAAGAACGTTGTGTGATGTTCAAGAAGCAGCCCGGAGGGAGGGAGCCGTGTTACACGTACAGTCTGTCAATCAACGGATCTCCTGCAGACTGTGTGGGCAACCCGCCACCATGTTACTGGAAGTCCTGCTGGCGACCGGAGCTGTAACGTTTATGTCATGCAACGTGACTGTACGTCATGCGCTATCTGTCCTGCTGTGACGTACCTGTCGTGTCACGTGACTTTACGTCATGCATTGTCTTTTTTGCTGGCGTCCGGAGCTGTGATGCCCTTGTCATGTCACGTGACTGTATGTCATGCGCTATCTGTCCTGCTATGATGCCCCTGTCATGCCACGTGACTGTACGTCATGCGTTGTCTGTTTTGCTGGCGTCCGGAGCTGTGACGCTCTTGTCATGTCACGGGACGGTACGTCATGTAGTTACCGATCCTGCCGGTGACCGGAGTTGTGTCAGCAGTGCCATGTGATGTCATGATCTACTGAGCAGACAATATCGTAAATGAGGTAGAACGAGTATGTTTACTACTACAATAAATGAATGAAAACAAAATGTCTAATATTGTAATTAAAACCGACGAAATCTATTCTTCAAAGGCATTTAGAAGTTGGTGTAGTAATACAAGACAAATCTTATGGATAACAACTTCTTGCTTTATTTTTCACAACGTTTCTGGGCTAGTTCTTGCCCCTTCTTCTGGTGGATAATGGCGATAGTGAACAGTACCACCAGCAGTATATATAGATGTATAGGAAGCCAGAAAGCCAGATATGTACACTGAGTATATACAAGGGAAGAAGGAGGTATAATTTAGTATGTACAAACATTGCAGTGAGATCAAAGAGCAGAATACAATGATAGGGTATGTTTTTACAATAAGGGCAAGGATGTGTTTACATAGCAGAGTGGTTAAAGCAGATTGAGTTTGAGGGTCTATGATTTCTGGGTGATGCACCAGGCGCTGGGGAGGTAAACCCCTTGATCTCTGTTGATCTCAGGGTGATGGACCAGGCGCTGGGGAGGTAAACCCCATGATCTCTGTTGATCTCATGGTGATGGACCAGGCGCTGGGGAGGTAAACCCCTTGATCTCTGTTGATCTCAGGGTGATGGACCAGGCGCTGGGGAGGTAAACCCCATGATCTCTGTTGATCTCAGGGTGATGGACCAGGCGCTGGGGAGGTAAACCCCATGATCTCTGTTGATCTCAGGGTGATGGACCAGGCGCTGGGGAGGTAAACCCCATGATCTCTGTTGATCTCAGGGTGATGGACCAGGGCTGGGGAGGTAACCCCCTTGATCTCTGTTGATCTCAGGGTGATGGACCAGGGCTGGGGAGGTAAACCCCCTTGATCTCTGTTGATCTCAGGGTGATGGACCAGGGCTGGGGAGGTAAACCCCATGATCTCTGTTGATCTCAGGGTGATGGACCAGGGCTGGGGAGGTAACCCCCTTGATCTCTGTTGATCTCAGGGTGATGGACCAGGGCTGGGGAGGTAAACCCCCTTGATCTCTGTTGATCTCAGGGTGATGGACCAGGGCTGGGGAGGTAACCCCCTTGGTCTCTGTTGATCTCAGGGTGATGGACCAGGGCTGGGGAGGTAAACCCCATGATCTCTGTTGATCTCAGGCACTAATCTTCTTATGTTGATTGACTCACACAGTTTTCTTTTGCGCCAATTGCTGATGTTGGAAGCCAGGATTTCAGTGTGTTGTCAGTTGATAGAGTGGTTGGTATTGTTAACGATGTGTTCTGAGAGGGCAGATTTGAGATCAGATTTTCCAGCTGAAGTTTTACGTTTTTTTAGTCTTGTGTTGAAGGGCCGATAAGTTTTTCCAATACAACTGCTTCCACAATCACAACTAATTTTGTAGACACATCCTTAAGGAGTGGGTTCTCCCTGACGAAATCTATATAGAAAAAATATCAGACAGTTACATCGTTCGGAGAATTTATCCGTCAACATGTACAAAACGGAACAATATCCCATACATCTGCAGCTGATATAGAAACGTGTTTGATATCTATGTAGAGAGAGAGATTTATTCAGTAAAAGGTCAACAGGCCCATGATATATACTATTCACACTTTGCTAAGGATCAAATCATTTATTCAACAGAAAACTATGATGTGGGGTAAAATCTGGTTTAAATATCTAAGCTTATTATAAGCATGGATTCAAGGTTTCAGTATGTCACTGCATCTTGTGGATCCCATACCTGCTACTGACAGGTGTTGTGTACTTGTCAATGACTCGTTCCATGATTTGCAAAATGGTTGATTGGTGCCATGAAAACCATTTTTATGGTTACTCATGTATCAAGTGCATAAGGTTAGATTAAATAGGCTGTTTTCCTAAAGATATCATTATTTATCTAGTTTTAAATGGATACAATTTCAAATTATAAATATATATTTAAGTAAAGTTGCGAATTTTGGTGATCCTTAGCAAAGTATGAGTAGTATATGCTATACAATGTGCACAGTATCACAAGCGCCAATATAATCATTAACACGGATGATACAAGGCAGAATACATTTGGATGTAGGGATATTACACACGCAAAAACGAACTATAGGTCTTTTTAAGATCTAGATATAAATATTTTCCAAGATTATTGCTGACAATTATATTCTTTGACTTGAACAGTTGAAACAGCTTCTCGTGTGATGGAAGATTATGTTAATGTATGGGAATTATATTTTCTCTAAGATTATTGTAAAATTGACACTCAAGGCAGAAATGATATTCATTTTCAACAGTAGGAATGATACAAAAGTGAGTGAGTATGGTTTTACGCCGTTCCTAGCAACATTCCAGCAATATCACGGCGGGGGACACCAGAAATGGGCTTCACACTTTGTACCCATGTGGGGAATCGAACCCGGGTCTTCGGCGTGAACGCTTTAACCGCTTAGCTACCCCATCGCCCCCGAATGATACAAAAAGGACACAGGCGATCACTTCGCTCAAGACCAAGGCCTCTACCGATTTCAATCATCAGCATATGACTGGAGCTTCGGAATTTACTTAGAGCAATCCGAAAACCTTAAAAAACTCAGCAAAAGTGTCAACTAAGTCAGTGAGCCTGACCACCTGATCCCGTTAGTCGCCTCTTACCACAAGCAGGGGTTACTGAAGATCAATTCTAACCCTGACCTTCACGGGTAGAACACTCTATAACAAAAATAAAGTTCGAGGTAAAGATAATTTCAAACATTGTGATGTGTAGATGTCATCGGTTCCCAATTGCGCAGATCGATGCTCATGCTGTTGATAAATGGATTGTCTGGTTCAGACTCGATTATTTACATACCGCCGCCATATAGCTGGAATATATATTGCTGAGTGCGTAAAACTAAACTCACTCACTCAGTCATTATCATCATACACTAGGTAGCAAAAGTAGAAAAAATTTGAAATATCTGACGGAATTTTGTTGATACACAGTGTTCACAGGCCGAACACAGTTCAGTATATTTTGGGACTCCCTTATACAGATCATAGCATTGAGAATGCATTGGGTATTTCCTGCATGATTACTATAATTGGCAGGGGTGGTGAGGGAGCCTAGAGGGAGCTCGTCAAGCCGTAGACCGGCTCGATTCCCTACATGTATACAATGTGTAATATCCATTTCTGGTAACCCCCGACGTGATATTGCTAAATATTTTTGAAAGTGGCGTAAAACTAAACTCACTCACTATAGTGACATAAATAACAATATGTTATCTTCTAGGAATTCAAGCGTAACAGAATTACTAAATGGTCAAATACACACGATGTCATAAGCTACCAGAGTTGCCATACCGGCAATTTATTGATCCTGCTAACACCAGTAAACGTTGATATATCATTAGCGACCACGGGAGAATACACAGACATAGACACAAACTTGCTGACATCAGCATTTATTAGAAGAGGTACGTGGTATAACAATGGTCATTTAATTGATAAACTGAATTCGCTCATTGAACACAAACTGGAACGAATTATTTAGTCAAACTTCAAATATCGCAACATGTAGTCTGTGCCATAAAACACCTGAACAAAATAACATGTACACTCCATGGACAAACCTTGGGTCAGTTTAAGAAAAGATTTGTTCTTTTGTTGTTTAACGTCGAACTCAGCAATATTCCAGGTATATATGGCGGTGGACCAGACAATCCGCAGTGATCAACACATTGAGCATCAATCTGCGTAATTGAGATGCGATGACATGTATCAACCAAGCCAGCGAGCCTGACTACCCGATCCCGTTAGTCGCCTCTTCCGATAAGCATGGGTTGCTGGACACCAATTCAAAACCGTCTTTACGTGTTTCCAGAATAGAGATAAATAAATAAAAAAACAAAACATGATTAGTCAAATTAATGAGTAAACACTTAGAGGAACGAGATAAATATTTTGAAAAGTCAGGCTAAAGATTGTTTTATTGAAACAGTGAAGAATTGCTGATAAAATTACATGCATAAAACTAACCGTCTTAGGAACCGCGGCGATTAGATTAATGATGTCATAAAGAGATTAACAACACAGTCATACTGAACAACTGAACAACATTAGAAACGCACCACAGGAAAATGCACCGACGAAGCCCCGATATATTATGGGTACATTGCAGTCTGACGGGGATATTTCGTATTATATGGATGGTGCGTTTCTAATGTTGTTCAGTATATAATGGTAGACATGACAAACTATTTGCCGCTAAACAAAGCCACCGAACAAGTATATTTTCGCCGATATGAAAGAGAGCAAACGTTATGTTTTGAAAAACTATTTTGGGATTGTGTTCAAAGATTTAAACAATTAATTTCATGGACACAATGAGTGGTCAAAGTACCAAGCGGGGATTTCGCCTGTTAATCAAAGGGAAGTAACTCTAAATCCGTATTAGAAGTCACATGATCTGGTCACATGATCAAGAACAACATGGCCGAGTGTTGATGGGCTCTTAAGGACACAGAATACATGTCAAGGCGGTGCTATTTTTATCCGTTGTAATTTACATAGATGTTCAAAATGGCTTCCAGTAAGTAGACATCTGTATCCAGATAAGCTATGTTCAATCGGATTGTGATGTCAATTCATGATATCTATAATATTCCATCTGACTTCATGTAGAATTGGAAAGTGGATCTGTGTTAAAGTTGTGATTATCAGATTATAGCGTGTACATGTCTAAGAACAGTTTTCGAATTGACAAAATTTTACTTGTTTGTTCGAGTTGGCGAGGTCGTGATATGTTGAACGTTAAGGGCCGAAGTCTTATGCCACGATGATGTGGAACACTTTATTTGACATGTACTCTCATCACGTATTCTCACAGAATCTGGAGTGATGGAGAGTTTTCATTTGGGTACTTGTGACAGGAGACCATATATTGGTTGTAAATATACATTCTATGTTTGTTAGCTGTGTTGGGTTCGCAGAAGGAAAATATGTATCCAGCAAGAAGATGAACTGGTTCATATATTGTAAGAGCCCAGCAGGCACATGCCATTGTTTCCAGGGATTTACCTTGAGTCCTGTATTTGAGGACTCATACTCTTAATTTTCAGGGGTCCTGGACAACAAAATAGGGGCTGCAGACACTTTTTTCCTAGGCAAATTTAGGAAATGTTTCCCGATACCTTTTTACCTGAGGACTTTTTTTCCGCACAACAAATGTTATTATTAATACTGTTATTGTATTGTGTATCATGATCATCACATTTTTACAGTAATTAAATTGCAAATGATATCATAACCCAGCTAGTAGCAAACTCAGTGATAACTTATTGTTAATTGATTGGAATTTGTACAAAAATTATTTCGACTTTTTCTGACTGACTGACTGAGTTTGGTTTTACGCGGCATTTAGCAATATTCCAGCAACATCACGGCGGGGGACACCAGAAATGGGCTTCACACATTGTACCCATGTGGGGATTCGAACCTGGGTCTTCGGCGTGACGAGCCAACGCTTTATCCATTAACCTACCCCACCGCCCCAGACTTTTTCTGAGTCCCTGTGGACGTGCTAATAAATTTTGTTGCATCCATTGTCTATTTTTATGGGTATAGGATGCAGGAATTCGTGTCCTGTAAATCCCTGGTTTCAGTGTTGAAATTTGGTACACATATGGTCTCTGGTTCACCCTAGATTGACCCGTGAAGGTCCGGGTTAGAAGATTGATCTTCAGTAACCCATGCTTGTCGTAAGAGGCGACTAACGGGATCGGGTAGTCAGGCTCGCTGACTTGGTTGACACATGTCATCGGTTCCCAATTGCGTAGATTGACGCTCATGCTGTTGATCACCGGATTGTCTGGTCCAGACTTGATTATTTACAGACCGCCGCCATATAGCTGGAATATTGCTGAGTGCGGCGTAAAACTAAACTCACTCATCCTAGATTGCTGCATTAAGGAACAATATATCAACACTGTTTCAATATAGGCCTTTTGATACATGATGAAGATATGTTGAAATATGACATAGTTTTAAACACTGACTCAACATTGGCCTAGCTTTCAATGTGTCACATTTATGTTGAAATGTGACATTGTTTTCAACATTCATTCAACACTGGGGTTTCAGTATTTCAAATATACATTGAAGTGTGAGTATTGTGAGTCATGTGACTATGTATTCAACACTGATTCAAAATTGATTAATTTTTTTTGTGCCTATGGCATTTACTAAGATCATTTACCTGTGAAGGTCCGGGTTAGAATATGGCTGGGGGGTTCATGATGATTATTATGGAGAAGCATGTACAATGTGAATGACACCCCCCTAAAATTTATGTACAAAATAAGTGACACCCCCCTTCATGTCATGTAGAAAAGCATAAGCCCCTTCCCCTTCCCATAATTTCTAAGCATAAATTTAAACATTGTTTTATGTACAAATTTGCTGACCCCACTAGTAAATAACTAAAAAAAAAAATGTGTACAAAATTTATGACCCCTAGCTCCCCAGAACAAAATGGGTGGCACCCCCTCAAAAATTAAATTAAATAAATAAATAAATAAAAATCATCATCACACACACCTAGCAATAAATTATTAACAGTCCCAAAACACTGTTTTCATATCAGCAATAAATCATATCCTGTGTTAAGTTGTTTTTGTGTTTGCAGAATTCAGCCTTGCCCTGGTACAACTCGCAGTTGGGGCGTCAAAGTCTGACAATCTTGCCCGGGCATCCAAACTCATCAAAGAAGCTGCGAGTGGTGGAGCAAGAGTTGTGGCACTACCGGTAAGATTCAGTCAGAGGTGAGGTGAGAGTTGTGGCACTACTGGTAAGATTCAGTCAGAGGTGAGGTGAGAGTTGTGGCACTACTGGTAAGATTCAGTCAGAGGTGAGGTGAGAGTTGTGGCACTGCTGGTAAGATTCAGTCAGAGGTGAGGTGAGAGTTGTGGCACTACCGGTAAGATTCAGTCAGAGGTGAGGTGAGAGTTGTGGCACTACCGGTAAGATTCAGTCAGAGGTGAGGTGAGAGTTGTGGCACTACGGTAAAGATTCAGTCAGAGGTGAGGTGAGAGTTGTGGCACTACCGTAAGATTCAGTCAGAGGTGAGGTGAGAGTTGTGGCACTGCCGGTAAGATTCAGTCAGAGGTGAGGTGAGAGTTGTGGCACTGCTGGTAAGATTCAGTCAGAGGTGAGGTGAGAGTTGTGGCACTACTGGTAAGATTCAGTCAGAGGTGAGGTGAGAGTTGTGGCACTACCGGGTAAGATTCAGTCAGAGGTGAGGTGAGAGTTGTGGCACTACCGTAAGATTCAGTCAGAGGTGAGGTGAGAGTTGTGGCACTGCCGGTAAGATTCAGTCAGAGGAGGTGAGGTGAGACTGCCGTGGATTCAGTCAGAGGTGAGGTGAGAGTTGTGGCACTACTGGTAAGATTCAGTCAGAGGTGAGGTGAGAGTTGTGGCACTACCAGGTAAGATTCAGTCAGAGGTGAGGTGAGAGTTGTGGCACTACCGGTAAGATTCAGTCAGAGGTGAGGTGAGAGTTGTGGCACTACTGGTAAGATTCAGTCAGAGGTGAGGTGAGAGTTGTGGCACTACTGGTAAGATTCAGTCAGAGGTGAGGTGAGAGTTGTGGCACTACCGTAAGATTCAGTCAGAGGTGAGGTGAGAGTTGTGGCACTGCTGGTAAGATTCAGTCAGAGGTGAGGTGAGAATTGTGGCACTACACCGCAAGATTCAGTCAGAGGTGAGGTGAGAATTGTGGCATTACTGGTAAGATTCAGTCAGAGGTGAGGTGAGGGTTGTGGCACTGCTGGTAAGATTCAGTCAGAGGTGAGGTGAGAATTGTGGCACTACCGTAATATTCAGTCAGAGGTGAGGTGAGAATTGTGGCATTACTGGTAAGATTCAGTCAGAGGTGAACTGAGAGTTGTGGCACTGCCGGTAAGATTCAGTCAGAGGTGAGGTGAGAGTTGTGGCAGTGCTGGTAAGATTCAGTCAGAGGTGAGGTGAGAGTTGTGGCAGTGCTGGTAAGATTCAGTCAGAGGTGAGGTGAGAGAGTTGTGGCACTACCGGTAAGATTCAGTCAGAGGTGAGGTGAGAATTGTGGCATTACTGGTAAGATTCAGTCAGAGGTGAACTGAGAGTTGTGGCACTGCCGGTAAGATTCAGTCAGAGGTGAGGTGAGAGTTGTGGCAGTGCTGGTAAGATTCAGTCAGAGGTGAGGTGAGAGTTGTGGCAGTGCTGGTAAGATTCAGTCAGAGGTGAGGTGAGAGTTGTGGCACTACCAGTAAGATTCAGTCAGAGGTGAGGTGAGGGTTGTGGCACTGCTGGTAAGATTCAGTCAGAGGTGAGGTGAGGGTTGTGGCACTACTGGTAAGATTCAGTCAGAGGTGAGGTGAGAGTTGTGGCACTACCGTAAGATTCAGTCAGAGGTGAGGTGAGAGTTGTGGCACTACCGGTAAGATTCAGTCAGAGGTGAGGTGAGAGTTGTGGCACTACTGGTAAGATTCAGTCAGAGGTGAGGTGAGAGTTGTGGCACTGCAGGTAAGATTCAGTCAGAGGTGAGGTGAGAGTTGTGGCACTGCTGGTAAGATTCAGTCAGAGGTGAAGTGAGAGTTGTGGCACTCAGGTAAGATTCAGTCAGAGGTGAGGCGAGAGTTGTGGCACTGCTGGTAAGATTCAGTCAGAGGTGAGGTGAGAGTTGTGACACTACTGGTAAGATTCAGTCAGACGTGAGGCAAGAGTTGATTCAGCCTGTGGTAAGGCAGTGGTTCTAACACTACAGGTAATAGACACATTTATAATATACAATGACAAATATAGTCCATATTTTAGTCCTTTCGAAGTTTTGTTTCACATTTTGATAGAGAGCAACTCTTTCATGCCTACATCTTCGTTATATATGCAAGATGAATTCCTGGTATTTCTTATGCTTTTTGCAGTGAATATTGTTTTTGATTCCTCTAGGAATGTTTCAATTCCCCGTATGGCACCAAGTATTTCCCTGAGTATGCCGAGGCAATCCCTGGACCGTCCACTAATGCCTTGTCCAAAGCAGCCAAGGAGAACAACGTCTTTGTGGTGGGAGGTAATTACGTCATTGTTTCCTACTGAGGCACATGTTACGTCATTGTTTCCTACAGAGGCACACATTACATCATTGTTTCCTACTGAGGCACATGTTACGTCATTGTTTCCTATAGAGGCACACATTACGTCATTGTTTCCTACAGAGGCACACATTACGTCATTGTTTCTTATAGGCACACATTACGTCTTTGTTTCCTTCAGAGGCACACATTACATCATTGTTTCCTACAGAGGCACACATTACGTCATTGTTTCCTACAGAGGCACACATTACGTCATTGTTTCCTACAGAGGCACACATTACGTCATTGTTTCCTTCAGAGGCACACATTACGTCATTGTTTCCTACAGAGGCACACATTACATCATTGTTTCCTACAGAGGCACATATTACATCATTGTTTCCTACAGAGGCACACATTACATCATTGTTTCCTACAGAGGCACACGTTACGTCATTGTTTCCTACAGAGGCACACATTACATCATTGTTTCCTACAGAGGCACACATTACATCATTGTTTCCTACAGAGGCACACATTACGTCATTGTTTCCTACAGAGGCACACATTACATCATTGTTTCCTACAGAGGCACACATTACATCATTGTTTCCTACAGAGGCACACATTACGTCATTGTTTCCTATAGAGGCACACGTTATGTCATTGTTTCCTACAGAGGCACACATTACATCTTTCTTTCCTACAGAGGCACACACTTACCTCATTGTTTCCTATATAGGCACTCATTACGTTATTGTTTCTTATATAGGCACACGCTGCATCATTGTTTCCTGCTGAGGCACACATTACGCCATTGTTTCTTATATAGGCACATGTTGCAACATTGTTTCCTACATAGGCACACATTACAACATTGTTTCCTACATAGGCACACATTACAACATTGTTTCCTACATAGGCACACATTACGTTTTTGTTTCCTTCAGAGGCACACACTACATCATTGTTTCCTTCAGAGGCACACATTACGTCATTGTTTCCTACAGAGGCACACGCTACATCATTGTTTCCTATAGAGCACACATTACGTTATTGTTTCCTACAGAGGAACATGTTATGTCATTGTTTCCTACAGAGGCAGTCGAAGACCTGGGTCTGATTCCCACATGGGTACAATGTGTGAAACTCATTTCTGGTGTCCCCGTCACGTGATATTGCTGGAATATTGCTAAAAGTCGGCATAAAAACGAAACTCACTCACTCACTCCTTCAGAGGCACACATTCCGTCATTTTTCCTACAGAGGCACACATTATGTCATTGTTTCCTACAGAGGCACACATTACATCATTGTTTCCTACAGAGGCACACATTACATCATTGTTTCCTACAGAGGCACACATTATGTCATTGTTTCCTACAGAGGCACACATTACATCATTGTTTCCTACAGAGGCACACATTATGTTATTGTTTCCTATAGAGGCACATGTTACGTCATTGTTTCCTACACATTCAAAAACTATAACCGATAATGATATTACATTTTTATTTGCCTGCCGGGGGAAATAGTCACGTCTCATCTGTCTGTCTGTGCTGATTGTCTTTTTCTGGAGCAGAACTTTGAAACCATTCACTATTTCTTCACCAAACTTGGCACATAGATAGGTCTTGTGGTGTACTGGTGCCTTTTAGTAGTTTTGTATTTATGAATAAAACATATTTTGCGTTTCCATGGCAACAAGTTTGACTTCGACTGAAATTGGTGGTAGTGCTCTTTTCCGGAACAGAACTGTAAAACCTATCAATACTCTCCTTTCACTTTGCAGTATAGTCACTGACTTGGTTGACACATATCATTGTATTCCAATTGTGTAGATCGATGCTCATGCTGTCGATCACCGGATTATCTGGTCTGGATTCTAATATTTACAGACTGCTGCCATATAGCTGGAATATTGCTGAGTGTGGCATAAAACTAAACTCACTCACTCACTGCTATATACACACCAAAACATTTGACATAGTCATAACTAACTGACATATACATGAAGAGTATTTTGCCATTGTGGGGGATATTGATGACTTTGTCTTCTTGTTCTAATTACAATTATGTCTCCCCCTGAAGGGTCGGGAGACATATTGTTTTTGGTTGAGTTTCCATTGGCGTTAGCGTTCCCATTGTTTCCTGAACATAACTCTAAAACTACTTGAACAAACTTCACCAAACTTGGTATTGTGCCGCGCTCCATAACATGTAGATGTGCCTTTTGTTTGGGGGTTTGAGTTTTTCTCAGTTTTTTCTGTTTTCATGCCAACATTTTGGACTAACAAGTAAAAACACTTTCTAGTTAATACTTACCTTACCACTCACCCACCGTGCGCCATGTTTATCTATTTTCTAATGACACAATAATCCATGTTCCTTGTAGCAGCTGTTCCCGCGGAGACTGGTTCCTGGCAGGTCATGTGTTAGGTCATGTTTATGATGTATAGGGATGGTTTGTGTTATTTTGCTTATGAGTGTTTTTTTATTACCCATATGGGAAGGAGGACACAGGGTAATTTTTCCTGTAAGTCCCCAGGGCGGTTACACCTTTTGGTGAACATTGATTGGCTGTTTCAGAAAATAACAGCCAATCGCTCAAGTAGGGATATGGGGATTCCCAATATCGCGGGTTTCCTTATAGAGAAATTGCTGTTTTCATTTTTGCGTTTTTTAGATTGAAAACTAATATGGGTAATACAAACAATAACCAACTCGTGACGGGGAATGACAGATTATCTTACCCTCGTTATATAGTTATGTAATTCTCTCGCCACGGCTCAAGAATTGTGTAATTAATATAACTCGGGAAAGATAATCTGTCAGTCCCTGTCACTCGTTAGCTATTGTCTAAATATTGTTTCAAATGTCCAGGTTCAATCCCAGAAGAAGAGAACGGCAACTTCTACAATACCTGCACTGTGTACGACCCTGAGGGATCCCTCATTGCTAAACACAGAAAGGTGAGGTCAGCTCAAGGATTACTCTTTGAACACGTATGGGTTTCCTAAATACTAAATAAGATATGAGATGGTCACAGATTACAGAATAAGTATAAAGAAGGTCCACCCAAATAGTGAACATAAGGGACCGTTCATAATTTATGTCTAGGGGGATGATGATGATTTTAAGGGGCTCACCCATTTTGTTCTGGGAAGGTGTGTGTGGGGAGGGTGGCGGTGATGATGATTTAAGGGGGGGTCACCCATTTTGTTCTGTGAAGATGTGGGGGCGTGGTGATGATGATTTTAAGGGGGTCACCCATTTTGTACTGGGAAGGTGTGTGTGTGTGGGTGGTGATGATGATTGTAGGGGGTCACCCATTTTGTTCTGTGAAGATGTGGGAGTGGGTGATGATGATTTTAAGGGGGTCACCCATTTTGTTCTGGGAAGGTGTGGGGGGTGATGATGATTTTTAAGGGGGGTCACCCATTTTGTTCTGGGAAGGTGTGTGGGGGGATGGTGATGATGATTTTAAGGGGGTCACCCATTTTGTTCTGGGAAGGTGTGTGTGGGGGGGAGGTCACCCATTTTGTTCTGAAGATGATGATTTTAAGGGGGATCACCCATTTTGTTCTGGGAAGGTGTGTGTGTGTGGGGTCAGCTATTTTGTACATGAAAATATTCAAAAGATTATGCTTAAACATTTTGGGAAGGGTGGGGTGTCATTGATTTTGTACATGACATGCAGGGGAGTCAGGTACTTTGTACATAAATCTTAAGGGGTTCGTACACATTGTACATGCTTCTCTATAAAATCATCATCATACCCCTAGCCAATAAATATGTAATGCCTCCCTAAATTGTTTGTGTCCACATGAAGACATCATGTGTCGAGATGACAAGATTGTGTTGTCAGATGAAAATATAATCTGGTCATGTTCCCAGATATATTGTGAGTGAGTGAATATGGGTTTACGCCACTTATAAGGCATGACGGGTGAACGCTTTAACCTCAAGGCTACTTCAGCCCCGCTTAACCAATCCCCAGATAAAGAGATCATGTTGATAGAGGGAGGTTGGTGTAAGTAGATAATGAAAATGAGATCTCTGTTGATGGAAGGACAGCATAGTTTTGTTTCTATTTCCAGGTGCATTTGTTTGATATTGATGTCCCCGGCAAAATTACTTTCCAAGAATCTGAAATCCTATCTCCCGGCAACCAGCTGACTTTCTTCAATACACGTATGTACAATTCTAAGATGCTTTGCTAAAAGATCAAAGATCACTTTTTGCATGACTGTCTTGACATCACTACGCCATCTTCGTCTGCCCCCTCGTTATCAAACGTACCCTTGGTAACCGACGTCACGATGCTTGTCAGTTATTATCACTTAAATATGAAAAAGTTGAATAACCTTGAAAACCACCTTTTTATAATAACCAATTCAAAATTGTCATTACAATAAGACTATTCCCATATTTACCCAATTATTACCGCTAATAAAATATAATCACAACATAGAAAAACTCGCTGCTGGAGACAAGGCCAAATTTGCAGAAAAATGGGCCCCCCTACTTATATTGACGGATGTGAACCAATGTGGGATCATATCTTCCTCTCTCTTCTCTATTTTCTTACTTTCCTATATCTCTGTTCCTTTTTCTTTGTACTTTATTCATACAGTCATTAATCATATGTAAAAAGTTGTCATCACCTTGGTTTGCAGCTGCTTTACTTGGATAACAAGCCGCCCTCATACTTTAGCTATAATAATTAAGGGCAAAAGTGTACTTTATTTCACTATACGGTGGGTGGAACGAATTTCTTAATTACACTACTCCGTGACCTCCCTCATCCCCGATTCCGATAAATCTCCACTATACCCTGGATGCATCTACAGCTGGAGCCGATGATTTCATTACCTCCCATGGTTGGCTTTATATCCAATCAGGTGTCTACGCTGGGAAGTTGAGTTGTACCAATCACAATTCACTTTCGCTTTTTAAATTATCTAACCGATTAATCTTGGCAACGCAATAATATATTGTTGCAGAGGTACTCTAAAAGAGGTAGAAGGAGTTCTTGCATATACTTTTAAGATTTCAGACCTGTCAATTTGTCTGTATGTTTTCCCCCAATCTGAGTCGCTGCGCTTAATCGCTGTCTTTGTTGACACTGGCGAGCTCTGTTGTAATGGCGCCTCATCTGATTGGCTACTGTGAGAATGCGGGGCTAGCAAAGGGAGGTAATAAAATCATCGGTTCGAGCCGAGAAGTTGCATCCAGGGTTTAGTGGAGATTTATCGGAATGTATACCCTGGAGATAATCGAGGATGGACCTCCCTTTGCCTCAAAGCTCTGTCACATATTTTGTTAAAATGCCATGCCAGTTATTTTCATGAGTTGGTTAGCAGGTCTCCATTTCCAGTACAATCAAGAAAATCACTCTTGCTGCTTGTTGAATGTTCTGGTAGTAGTTTCAGACCCTTTCCAAGAATAGTTTTAGTACAGTAAACTATAGTTACATTAAAACTCAAAGTGACCACTAATTTTTCGACTATAGTATAACTACACAGCAAATTTCAGGTATCCCCAAAATAGTGTCTTTCATCTGTCATTTCGCTGTTAGCACAGTTAACTGTACTTCAATTTAAAGTCAAATTTTAAAATACTTTCTTGTAATTCTTCTTTCTGCCTCTTTGGATATTCACATTGATATTTTAAAATATTTCAAACAGAAAACTAGTTTGAATTTTCAGCAATTTCCCCTCTAATTTCTGTTGTTGATAATTTCATGGCTCTTTGAATCATTGTAGGTGGTGTCAATCTTTTTGCAGTTCAGTATTCCATCTATGCGTACAATAAACATAATGTCGCTATGTCTCAGAATCAAGTCTGTTCATTTTGACACTGGATTAATAAAACATACTCTTTCTAAAAATAAAATGCCTCCGTGGTGTAGTGGTTAGAGCATGCCCATCCAGAGAGAGGAAGATTGCAGGTTCGATCCCTGGCGCGCCATACTTAAAATATGTTTATGTATGGTACTTGTTGGTCCCTGGCTGACGCTTTAGTGGGCATTAATGGGTACAACAAGGACTGGTCAGCTTCGAGTCAGTATAATGTGTCTGAGTGGGGTATTCATGCTTAACTGCGGCATGGTATCTCAGCTAGCAAAATAAAACCAGCTCAAGTCTGGGCTAGTACAAGCAGCCACACATACACACTCACTCACGCATGTCGTCATATGAGCAAAATATTCTTAAGTATGACATTAAACCCCATTTCACCTCACCTCACCTTTCTCAAAAACACCTGCCAAAAGAAAAGTGTACCAATTTTACGTGTTGTGTACTACCCATTTAACACCATGCCTGCCAGTCATGTTTTCTTGAGAATCGGGCGGTAGGGTTGCCTAGGGTTAAAGTGTTCGTCATCCAGAGAAGACCCAGGTTCGCCTTCCCCACATGGGTAGAATGTGTGAGGCCCATTTCTGGTGTTCCCCGCCATGATATTTGCTGGAATATTGCTAAAAGCAGCGTAAAACACACGCACGCACACATGAATCGTTTTGACCACATAAGATTATTCTACAAAGTATTTTGCATCACAATTATTTTGCAGCTTTCTGCAGGATCGGGGTCGGGATCTGCTACGATATCCGTTTCCCTGAAATGGCCATGCTGTACGCTCAGAGAGGTTTGTGTCTTTAATAATAATAATAATAATAATGTGGGTATTTATATAGCGCTACATCCAGGTACTAATACCCGCTCATGGCGCTACAATACTATAGGAGAAAAAAATAGTTAAAAGTATTTACAGAGAGACAATTGAACATGGAAAGTCTAGTAATAGGCAAGACGAAAAAAGTGGGTTGTTAGAGACGATTGAAATGTGTCCAAAGATTCAGCATTCTTGATGTGAGTGGGCAAGTTGTTCCAGAGACTGGTGGCTGCGTGTTGGAATGATCTTTTCCCATAGGATGAGAGTCGAACTTTAGAAATGACAAGTAGCTGGTGATGAAGCTTGCCTTGTATGTATGTGTAACTACCATAATATTTCCTGGGATGGGATTCGAACCACAGACCTTCTGATCCGAGGTCGGACACCTTGTCTACATGACCAAAGCTGACAAGGTACTGATGTCATCCCTCTTGCTACATAGGTGTTTATTGTTCGTATGTAAACAGTGATATTTCCATCTTGGAAACATACAGCTAATTCTTTTCTGTTACTCATGTAGATGAAATTATTAGGTGTATGCTTTATCTGTTTAGAACTGTTATGAGGGTGCTTGTAATAATATGATGTAATAATTCTAATTTTTTAACAGTAAATACGTCACGTTAGTTATTTGAAGCCTAGTGAAGATTCGGGTTAGACTTGGTATTCAGCAATGCATGCTTGTCAGCTATATGACAGCAGTTTGTAAATAATCGAGTCCGGACCAGACAATCAAGTGAGTGGCATTTAGAAGTTGGTGTGATGAACAACGAAGGGAGTTCTATGGATATCCAACTTCTTTAATATGAATATGATTGATCCCATTATTATCCTGTCTATCATGGCGTAATAGCCTAATGGTTAAAGCGAAATCCCCATGGGTACAATGTGTGAAGCCCATTTCTGGTGTCCCCATTGTTGCTGGAATATTGCTAAAAAAGCGCGTGAAAACCAAACTCAGTCAGTCAGTCATCCTGTCTATCATATCACTGGCTTCCTCCCAATAATCCCCCAGAGCTTATTCTGTTTGTGTTTTTAAAGACCAATTCTAACCTGGATCTTCACAGGTTTTGTGTTATAAACTGTGTTATAGCCTGCTTGTAGACCATGTTGTAACCTTTGTTTTAAGCCATGTTATAATCCGTGTTGTCCATGTTATAATCCATGTTATAATCCATGTTGTCCATGTTATAATCCATGTGTTGTCCATGTTATAATCCGTGTTATCCATGTTGTCCATGTTGTCCATGTTATAATCCATGTTGTCCATGTTGTCCATGTTATAATCCGTGTTGTCCATGTTATAATCCGTGTTGTCCATGTTATAATCTGTGTTGTCCATGTTATAATCTGTGTTGTCCATGTTATAATCCGTGTTGTCCATGTTGTAATAATCCGTGTTGTCCATGTTATAATCTGTGTTATCCGTGTTGTCCATGTTATAATCTGTGTTGTCCATGGTATAATTGGTGTTATCCATGTTATAATCCCAGGCTGCAAGTTGCTGCTGTACCCTGGAGCCTTCAACATGACCACGGGCCCCGCCCACTGGGAGTTGCTACAGAGGGGCCGCGCCCTTGACAACCAGATATACGTTGCCACTGTCTCTCCAGCCAGGGATGAGAAGGCGTCATACATCGCCTGGGGTCACAGCAGTGTTGTCAGTCCATGGTGAGTGTCTGGTCGACACTGCTTGAAAAGTGTTTCAGCTGTGTTATTAGATGTCAGTTTATGAAAGAATCCCATAAGTTCAGTGTGAGTCCAATCACGTTTGAGTCATTGTCTTATTTGTCTGCCTATTGTCATGATTACCCTGTTTCTACTGAGACAGGCTGGATTGTGTGTTTGAAGGAGAAGGATGTGTTCACATATTGAGTGAGTGAGTGAGTTTAGTTTTACGGCACTTTTACCAATATTCCAGCAATATCACAGCGGGGGACCCCAGAAATGGGTTTCACATATTGTACCCATGTGGGGATTCGAACCCGGGTCTTCGGCGTGATGAGCGAACACTTTAACCATTAGGCTACCCCACGTCCCCTTGACGTTTTGAGGTTGTATAGAAATACTTGAGATGGTGCTGAGATATGGATGTGTTGCAAAATTGAGATTTAGTTGAGATATTGATGCCATGGTAAAATGTGGAGGTTGTGCTGAGATATTGAAGTTGTATTGAGAGAATGAGCTTGTTTAAAGATATTGAGGTGTTCATATTGCAGTGCATTTAAATATTGTGGTTATGTTGAAATAACATGTGTTGATGTTAAGAAGATACTGAGGTTGTGTTGAGATATTGATCATATGTTGAGAAACTGAGGTTATGTTGAAGTTATTGAAGATGTGTTGAGATATTGATCATATGTTGAGAAACTGAGGTTATGTTGAAGTATTGAAGTTGTGTTGAGATATTGATCATATGTTGAGAAACTGAGGTTATGTTGAAGTATTGAAGATGTGTTGAGATATTGATCATATGTTGAGAAGCTGAGGTTATGTTGAAGTATTGAAGATGTGTTGAGATATTGATCATATGTTGAGAAGCTGAGGTTATGTTGAAGTATTGAAGTTGTGTTGAGATATTGATCATATGTTGAGAAGCTGAGGTTATGTTGAAGTATTGAAGTTGTGTTGAGATATTGATCATATGTTGAGAAACTGAGGTTATGTTGAATTATTGAAGATGTGTTGAGATATTGATCATATGTTGAGAAGCTGAGGTTATGTTGAAGTATTGAAGTTGTGTTGAGAGTTGTGTTGAGATACTGATCATATGTTGAGAAGCTGAGGTTATGTTGAAGTATTGAAGATGTGTTGAGATATTGATCATATGTTGAGAAACTGAGGTTATGTTGAAGTATTGAAGATGTGTTGAGATATTGATCATATGTTGAGAAGCTGAGGTTATGTTGAAGTATTGAAGATGTGTTGAGATATTGATCATATGTTGAGAAACTGAGGTTATGTTGAAGTATTGAAGATGTGTTGAGATATTGATCATATGTTGAGAAGCTGAGGTTATGTTGAAGTATTGAAGTTGTGTTGAGATATTGATCATATGTTGAGAAACTGAGGATATGTTGAAGTATTGAAGTTGTGTCTTGTGTTTCAGGGGTGAGGTGATAGCCACTACTGAGCACCAGGAGACTGTGGTCTATGCAGATATAGGTACTGTAGCTCACCTCACACAGAAACTGTTCAATAAGAAAATGCACCACATTCCTAACATAACAAACTTCGTATACAAATTACAAAGGTTTTAGCAGAAATATTTTCGTTATAAAATTACCAGCATTTTGAAAGTAAGTGTTTTCTGGGGTTCCAAGTGAGTGTGAGTGAATTTTGTTTTACGCCGCACTCAGCAATATTCCAGCTATATGGTGGCGGTCTGTAAATATTCGAGTCTGGACCAGACAATCCAGTGATCAACAGCATGAACATCAATCTACACAATTGGGATACGATGACATGGGTCAACCAAGAGAAGCATGGGTTGCTGAAGACCAGTTCTAACCTGGATCATCATGGGTCCTGGGTTCCAAGATACCGCTGGTGGGGTAGCCTAGTGGTTAAAGCGTTCGCTCGTCACGCCGAAGACCTGGGTTCGAATCCCCACATGGGCACAATGTGTGAAGCCCATTTCTGGTGTCCCCCGCCGTGATATTGCTGGAATATTGCTAAAAGCGGCGTAAAACCATACTCACTCATTCACTCCAAGATACCGCTGAATGAACTTTCAGAAAGCATTGATCGTTGACTTGGTCCTGTGTTTCAGATGTGGACTATGTGATGGAGGTCCAGCAGCAGATCCCAGTTCACAGTCAGAAGAGGCAGGATCTGTACAGGGTGGAAGATCTCTCTGACCTGGATGGGGTGGAATAAATCTGTGTATCAAACAGCAGGGGGTGGAATAAATCTGTGTATCGAACAACAGATAAATCTCTCTCTCAGGCAGCACATTTTATTATCGGTTGAGGGTAGGGGGTGGATGAATATGTCATGATACATCATGCAACAGTTGTGGCTGAGTGTTCATGGGAGTTGGGGTGAGATCTGTTGTGTGTTTGATCTTCCATTGAAGTAGGCATTGTTTAAGGACTGTGATTACGCTCTTACCCAGAATACAAGTAGCTGGACAGCATAGGTGATTTCAGTTATACTTAATGAACGAGATGTTTTAAATTTTGATAATGGTTAAAATTTGATGTAACCAGTTTTTGTATTTTTAGATCTGACAAGATTTACTTGTGTTTTGTGGGATGGAAGTACATGTCAGCCTGGGATCTGAGGAATGTAGTCTGACTGTGCTGTGAAAGGTGGGGTGAGGTGGGGTTTGTGGTTTGGTATTAGGATGGGGTGAGGAGTGGTGAGGTTGGAGTGGGTTGGGTTTTGGTGAACTGGGGTTGTGAGGAAAAGGGGGTTTGGGTTGGTTGGGATGGGGCTGAGATGAGGAGAGGTTCTGTTGGGGTGAGTTGCGGTGGGCTGGGGAGGAAAAGTGTGTGGGGTGGTGGTGGGGTTTTTTGGATAGGGTTGTGATGTTTTGAGTGGGGTGAGGTAGGGTTGGGTTGGGGTTGTGGTGGGGTTGCAGTGGATTAGGGTGGGGTTGTGGTTAGGGTTGAGGGGATTGGGATGAGGTAGGGCTGAAGTGCGGTGGGTTTGGGAGGTGACTGCAGTGGATTGGGGTGGTGTTGTGGTGAGGAGAGGTAGACTATGCGGTAAGGTTTGGGGCAGTGGTGAGATGAGGTGGGGTTGAGGGGGATTGTTGTGAGGTTTGGAGTGGGGTGAGGTTTAGGGCAGTAGTGAGATGGGGTTGGGTTGAGGGGGATTGTGGTGAGGTTTGGAGTGGGGGGAGGTTTAGGGCAGTAGTGAGGTGGGGTTGGGTTGAGGTGGGGTAAGGTGGGGGTTGGACAAGGTGGTGTGTTTTCATCCAAGCTGTAGATCCAGTAAAATGTTTCTGATTGTTTTGAAATGTTTGTCATTTTGTGAATGATTTCATATTCCTTTGCTTGTTATCTTCTTAAAATTACTTATATCTGAATTTAGACAGAGCTTTTTACTTTGTGTTTTTGTGGTTTTTGCTATCAGCCACTTATCATGTTGTTGCACCTACCTGTGTTTTGTGAGTCCCTTTCAGTATTACCTGGCCCCTCACTATGTCAGTGATCCTTTATAACACATGAATAATATGTATATAGACTGCTCCTGTCTAGACATTGCAAGAAACTTGTATAATGTTACAAACAAATTAAAGCTTTCTGACTACATGTATTTCAAGATTCTTCTAATCACTTATACTCTGGTGGTTTGATATCCGGGATAGTTATCACATGCAGGAAAGAGTTGTTTGAGTCGGTCATGCAGGGAACATGTGTAACATTATTACAAGCAAATTAAAGAATTTTGACTATTTCAAGATTCTTCTAATCACTTGTACTCTGGTACTCCGGTTCGATGTCCGGGATAGTTTCAGTGTTATCACAAGTAGGAAGGAAAGATCTGATTTGGTCATGTACGGACATTGGAGGGAACGTGTAACATTATTACAAGCAAATTAAAGAATTTTGACTATTTCAAGATTCTTCTAATCACTTGTACTCTGGTACTCCGGTTCGATGTCCCGGATAGTTTCAGTGTTATCACAAGTAGGAAGGAAAGATCTTATTTGGTCATGTACGGACATTGGAGGGAACATGTGTAATATTATTACAAGCAAATTAAAGATTTTTGACTATTTCAAGATTCTTCTAATCACTTGTACCCTCGTGGTTGGATGTCCGGGATAGTTTCAGTGTTATCACATGCTGGGCAATGAAGTAACTCTGACGTCTTCCAAATTTCAACGTTTTACACTCGTGCAGGATGTCAAACTCATTTGTCGAGTCACGTACAGATTCCACCACTCCTTGTCTGGGTGTGCAATGTACCCCTGCCATGTAGATTGCTGTGATATTCAAAGTAATATGCGCTCATGAAATGACCTGTTCTGTCAACAGTGGCCTTTACGTTAGTGCCTACTCCACCAGGACATATGGCTGGCTATCCATCGTACATGTAAAAGAATATCCGTTGATCTGATCATTGTGATTTTTGTGAACATTATCATTGTAGCTCATTAAATGTAGTCAGATTCAATACTCGTCATTGTGACCATCTGAGGTCGCCTCCATAGGTGGGCATATTGGGTGAACCAGATTTGGTCAGTTGAAGACTGGGTTCAGTTGTCAGCTGTCTCAATTGATTCTGTTTCATTTCCTTGTCCCTAGTGATGTTTCGATGATCGAAACTAATCGAAAATCGATCGAAAGAAGGATTAAAATGATTATCGATTGTAAAAAACATATTTTCGATTAATCGAAATTTTGTTGTTTTTGTATATAGCACCATTGAATGAAGTAAACTAACCATCAAATTTGACGAATATTCACGAACAAACATGCGCTCAATAGAGTAAAGCTATGCACATTGTAAAATTTTAACCACTTTTATTGTTTAATTACAATTCCAGTGTCTTTCTTGCATGCGTGCATTTCATTGCATGACAGTGTTAGTTATAAAAAACAACATTAATTAGAAAAAAATGTGGAGAAACCCTTAAAATTGGTGATTACATTAAAAATGTATATATTTCGATTGTAATCGATAATCGTTCACCACAATCCTCCAATAATCGATAGTGGATTTGGTTTCCGATTCCCAACATTTTTCATTTGTCGAATCTGGCCAAGCTGCTAGGTCTCCAGTGCTCACATTATGGGAAACCTGCACTTATTCCTGGATCCAGATTAGATGTTCTTGCTTTCTTAGATTTACGTTTCATTTTTATTTACCTTACCAATCAGAAGTCACAATAAGGGTGAAGGAGGTGGATATGAAATTTCTTCAGGGCTTTGTTTTACGTCTCAATGTTTCAATGTTGAATTTCGTGGACTCGACTGTACTCATTGGGACTGGCTGGGATTGAGGCTGGTGCGTAAGTCACGTTCTGATTGGTCCATGGGACTAAATAGAATAGGAAATCAAATTTGTTGACAGTATGGGCGGGTAGTTTGATAATTATTTGGATGGATCCAGGGATAGTTTGGGCTTGCTAAAATGAAGATGACCACCTCAAGTGTAATGTGTATTGCTGCAAATAAAATTCTGATTAAATGAGACCCTTATCCTTAACCTGTATTTTACTTTGAAGAGTGGGTGAGTGAAATACTAGACCTTTACAACTTGCCGACTGATTTCACAAAGTGAATATAGTACTAAAACTGTAACGTGAGTGAGTGAGTGAGTGAGTTTAGTTTTACGCCGCACTCAGCAATATTCCAGCTATATGGCGGCGGTCTGTAAATATTCAAGTCTGGACCAGACGATCCAGTGATCGGTCTTCAGCAACCCATGCTTGCCACAAAAGGCGACTATGCTTGTCGTAAGAGGTGACTAACGGGATCGGGTGGTCAGGCTCGCTGACTTGGTTGACACATGTCATCGGTTCCCAATTGCCTAGATCGATGTTCATGCTGAACGCTTTATCACAGATGCAGTAGTCACGATAAAAAAATGGACTGAGTGAGAGATTGTGAGTGTGAATGAGTGAGTGAGGTGATAGAATTCTTTTATAAGTATTTCAGTCAAAGCAAAGAGGGCAAGATCCACCATCTTAATAAATAATTGTAGTTTTACACTGAAAATTGTGTTGACATCAGAAAGTGATCAAGTCGGCAAACAAACTAATGAGTGAGTGAGGGAAAGGGGATTAGAGACATTTTGAGTGAGTTTAGTTTTACGTCGCACTCAGCAATATTCCAGCTATACAGCGGCGGTCTGTAAAGAATTGAGTCTCGACCAGACAATCCAGTGATCAACATCATGAGCATCGATTTACTGGGAACCGATCACGTGTCAACCAAGTCAGCAAGCCTGACAACCCGATCCCGTTAGTCGCTTCTTGTGACAAGCATGGGTTACTGAAGATCAATCTTACCCAGACCTTCACGGGTCAAAGACATTTTGGACAGTATTCCAATAATCACTTGTCACTTTATGTTCAATGAAAGCCCCACGTGATCCAGGTCTTGGACATTACCTCTTTGGTGATGTCCACAAGGATGGGAAAGGGGCTGACAAAATAGAAACATAATCTGGACAAACCAGGATTCAAACCTGTTCTGGCATGCCAAGGGACACAACACTAGAGAACAAAGTTCAGTGCCATAGATGATTGGTCCACATGTGCTCGTACAAGCTTATGAAGACAAGTGACTGTTAAAATTCATAAAATGAAGGAGGCAAGAGTGAGTTTTACATCGATTTTGGCAATATTCGAGCACTATCACGGCGGGAGACACCAGAAATGGGCTTCACACATTATACCCATGTGGGGACTCGAACCCGGGGTCTTTGGTGTGACAAGCGAACGCTTTAAGCGTTATGCTACCCCACAGCCCCGAAGGCGGCAAGAAGTAGCCTGTCATAATGCAGGAGTTGTCATCCATTAACGTTTCATCACTTCATGTTCTTTTAACTTTTACACCTCCAAATGTCTGAATCCAGTGGTAGAGTGCTGAGCATCATCTGCTAGGTTGCAGGTGACCTATATTTCCTGGTGCTTACATTATTGAGAAGTGGAATGGCGTTCTTCATCCTGTTCAAGATTATTGCTTTTATATATACACATTTTGTGTGGCAGCTTGTACTGATGCTTGCACCAGTTTTATAGCGCTAAGCCGCTGAGATAACATGCCACTGTTTACCTTGAATATCCCACTTGAGACAGAATACTGACTCCAAGCCAAGCAGGACTTGTTTCATCATCGGGCAGGGTTACAAGAAGTAACCCATGCTTGTCGTAAGAGGTGATTAACAGGATTGGGTGGTCAGGCTCGCTGACTTGGTTGACACATGTAATCGGTTCCCAGTTGCATAGATCGATGCTCATGCTGTTGATCACTGGATTGTCTGGTCCAGACTCTATAATTTACAGACCGCTGCCATACAGCTGGAATATTGCTGAGTGCGGCATAAAATCTTCATACCATATGTTGACATGTTTCCGTATCCCATAGCCAGGCATCAGAACACTGACAAGATGCATTAACAACCCAACTAGTTACTCAGCAATACCAGTTTAATAAATAACAGTAGAAGAGCACACAGTTTACAGGTATCATCAGATATACACAATGTGTAGCAGCACAACAATGGTGTAAGTATACACAGTGTAACAAACGGGTTGATATATACATATACATATACACATCACTTCAAGGCTAACATGGATATCACACAATACTTGGTTATTTCCCACCATCCTCGATAATGCAGGATATGATGTCACCATTCCATTATGACAGTTGAGTGAGTGAGTGAGTTCGGTACGCAGCTTTAGCCATATTCCAGAAATATTACAGTGGGGAACACCAGACATGGGCTTCACACATTGTACCCATGTGGGGAATCGAACCTGGGTATTAGGCGTGACGAGCTAACGCTTTAACCACTAGCCTACCCCACCGCCCCATTATGACGCTTGACCATAACTTCCTTTTGAAACTGTATGGTACAATGAAATTTGCCATGTAATCAAAGCACTTTCAGTAGTGAGGAAGTTGTAAGCTCTGGTAGCAATGAGAAGGATGGAAATGGTGACGACATTTTGAAACTATGGTGATGAAGGGACAGAGTGGAACTATGAAACCTTGACCATCGAGGATGATGTGACATGATTGGCAGGAATAATCAGTTACGGTCAAAGGTCAGTTCATGCAGTTGGAAATTCTTTGTTATTAACATCAGACTGTAACAGTGAATGAGTGAGTGGGTTAGTTTGACGCTGTTTCAGCAATATTCCAGCAATAACATGGCGGGGGACACCAGAAATGGGCTTCATATATTGTACCTATGTAGGGAATCAAATTTAGGTGTTTAGAGTGATGAGCAAACGCTATAACAACTAGGCTACCCCAAGGCCCGTCACTGTAACAATGTTCAAGATAACAATTAAATGGTAAGCCAGACATAGTACCTTTTTATCGAGAATTCACTTTAGTAGAGTTTTATTTATTTATATATTGTCAGAATACTTCAGACTGATCAAATTATACCACCCCCTCCCAATATAGGCCCAAAATAAATATATTGTCAGAATACTCCAGACTGATCATATTATACCACCCCCTCCCAATATAGGCCCAAAATAAATATATTGTCAGAATACTCCAGACTGATCATATTATACCATCCCCTCCCAATATAGGCCCAAACTAAATATATTGTCAGAATACTCCAGACTGATCATATTATACCATCCCCTCCCAATATAGGCCCAAAATAAATATATTGTCAGAATACTCCAGACTGATCATATTATACCACCCCTCCCAATATAGGCCCAAAATATATTGTCAGAATACTCAGACTGAACATATTATACCACCCCCCCTCCCAATATAGGCCCAAAATATAAATATTGTCAGAATACTCCAGACTGATCATATTATACCACCCACTTCCAATATTGGCCCATACTAAATATATTGTCAGAATACTCCAGACTGATCATATTATACCATCCCCTCCCAATATAGGCCCAAACTAAAAATATTGTCACAATGCTCCAGAGTGATCATATTATACCAGCCACTTCCAATATTGGCCCAGACTAAATATATTGTCAGAATACACCAGACTGATCATATTATACCATCCCCTCCCAATATAGGCCCAAACTAAAAATATTGTCACAATGCTCCAGACTGATCATATTATACCACCCCCTCCCAATATAGGCCCATACTAAATATATTGTCACAATACTCCAGACTGATCATATTATACCATCCCCTCCCAATATAGGCCCAAACTAAATATATTGTCAGAATACTCCAGACTGATCATATTATACCATCCCCTCCCAATATAGGCCCAAACTAAAAATATTGTCACAATGCTCCAGACTGATCATATTATACCACCCACTTCCAATATTGGCCCAGACTAAATATATTGTCACAATACTCCAGACTGATCATATTATACCACCCCCTCCCAATATAGGCCCAAACTAAATATATTGTCAGAATACTCCAGACTGATCATATTATACCATCCCCTCCCAATATAGACCCATACTAAATATATCGTCAGAATACTCCAGACTGATCATATTATACTACCCACTTCCAATATTGGCCCAGACTAAATATATTGTCAGAATACTCCAGACTGATCATATTATACCACCCCCTCCCAATATAGGCCCAAACTAAATATATTGTCAGAATACTCCAGACTGATCATATTATACCATCCCCTCCCAATATAGACCCATACTAAATATATTGTCAGAATACTCCAGACTGAACATATTATACCATCCCACTCCCAATATAGGCCCATACTAAATATATTGTCAGAATACTTCCAGACTGATCATATTATACCATCCCTCCCAATATAGGCCCAAACTAAATATATTGTCAGAATACTCCAGACTGATCATATTATACCATCCCCTCCCAATATAGGCCCATACTAAATATATTGTCAGAATACTCCAGACTGATCATATTATACCACCCCCTCCCAATATAGGCCCAAACTAAATATATTGTCAGAATACTCCAGACTGATCATATTATACCATCCCCTCCCAATATAGGCCCATACTAAATATATTGTCAGAATACTCCAGACTGATCATATTATACCACCCACTCCCAATATAGGCCCAAACTAAATATATTGTCAGAATACTCCAGACTGATCATATTATACCACCCACTTCCAATATAGGCCCAAACTAAATATATTGTCAGAATACTCCAGACTGAACATATTATACCACCCCCTCCCAATATAGGCCCATGCTAAATATACTGTAAGGATAATTCAGACATCACATATCAAACCATCTCTCTCCCAATAATGGCCCATACCAAAAATATTGTAAAAATAATTTGGCAAAACATATCATACCATCTCCCTCCCAATATAGATCCATACCAAAAATACTATCAGAATAATTCAGGCAGAACATATCATACCATCTCCCTCCCAATAATAGCCTGTGCTAAAATATTGAAAGAATAATTCAGGCAGAAAATACATAACATCCCCCTTCCAATATAGGCTAATGCTAAAATATTTGTGAGAATAATTCAGGCAGTACATATACAATACCCCTCCCAATATAGACACATACCAAAAATACTGTCAAAAAGATTCAGACAGAACATATCATTGCATCTACCTCCTAATAATAGCCCATTCTAAAAATATTGTCACAATATTTGAGGCAGAACATATCAAACCATCTCTTGCAATAGAGCCCTATACAAAAAAAATTGTCAGAATATTTGAGGCAGAACATATACCATCTCCCCACCAATATAAGCGCATACTGAAAATATTGACAGAATCACAACAGGCAGCAACTGTGACAGTATCCCATGGATTGCATTGAATAAGTCATGTATAAAGTCCTACAGGCAAATCACAGGTCCAAGGATATACAGTCGAAACACATTTACACAGACTCCGTATTTCCGAAAATCCGGCCTTCCGCACGAGTTTTAAGTGAAACGAAACTTTTCTTCCTTAAATGTACTCACATACTCGGACTCTGTGCTTCCGGACCTGGATGATGATTTTTGAATCCATTCCCTATTGACCCAATTACTCAGAAGGTTTACTTAGCCAAAACGTCTGTGTAAACGGGGCTCGACTGTATACAACGTATTGATGCAGTCATGGAGGAAGAAGAAGCCGAAGAACAATTGATGACTTGTAAACAAATTTGGTAACAGTTAGCAAAGTATGCATGATTGATAAGTTACATTTATTAAAATGCCCTGTTGAAAAAGGTGAGGGTCCGATACACTTGAAATGAATGAAGAGATTACATGCATCATGATATCAAGGTGTACAAAGTTTGGGGACACAAAGAAACTGACTACTATCTAAATATGTTCATAATTTCCTACCTTTCATTATGCGTCAGTGATTGAGAGCCGACTTCACCACATTTACCATGTTTACCAACACCACTAATTCTGCAATATCCTGGCAAACCGAGAAGCCAGCCCACAAATTGAACCCAGGTGAGAATCAAACCATGTACCTGAGACAAGACAAGCAAACACTGTGACCACATGGCTAACCATGTAAGTAGACATTAGCTTATCCCACTTGACCAAGCATTCAGCCATTTGGCAGGCAAACAACAGCATTGAAGAGAAGCAATTTGTATGAACAGACAACTTCTTTATTGGAATAGATCGGTGCCGATGCTAACATCGTTATCAAGCAAGTGACGATAACAGTGTTAACATCTACACCAAAACGTCGCATCTATTGAAAAAAGAAATGTCCTTCCACAAAAATCATTCCTCTTCATCATAAGAGCTTCGAAATGTTACTAAAAGAAGTTAAACAACAGCATGGATTAACCAAACAGACTGATCAATGTAGATCTTTTACTATCATGTTCAATTAATTTGTTCTTCATCTAAATGCTCAACACTACAGTCAGTAGATGGACAACATATTTGTATTGTCTATGTTCATTTACACAAAAGACTTAACACGGACAAGTGTAAACAGTTGTACAAAAGGTTTCGGTATTGTATAAGAATATATAAACAAAATATCAAGATTCTTCAAGAAATCTAAAACACATCATAAAAACATATATTTAACAAAATAACTACCGCATTTGTCAAACACACCATAATTCAGTATATTTTCAGGTATAAAGTTCTTAAAATTTGAATAAAGCTGCAATGACAGCACTCTACAAACTATAAATCATAAACACTACAGACATGATCATCACACGACATCCATCTCCAGGGATCGCATTTCAAGAAACCTGCACTTATACCTGAATCTGTTCCCCTGACTCTTGCAAATTACCTGCCCTTGTTTTTCAAAAACAACTTCCCTTCAAACATTGACATGAAGGAAAGGGCAAGGGAGGTAACTCATGTTACTCCCTAAACCTCTGCCAGTTTAAGGACATAAAGACATCCTTTTCATCAGAAGGAGTTTTAGGGCTTTCTTCTCCCTGGCACTGGCAGTCAGTTTTTCAAGTTTGAATTTCTCACAAAATTGACCAAAAGCAATGGGACTGACTGCCACGTTGTTGATTTTGCTGGTTTGAAAGTCATATTCTGATTCTGATTGGTGTATTAGAAAAGAAATTTAGATTGAGGAGCAAAGCCAATCAAACAGTCAAACGGTAAACAAAGTAATCTGAGATTGTGAGAGCAACAGAAATGGATCCAGAGAATAGTGTAGGCATAGTGAAATGCTCACCCTGAAGGAGAGGATGATCATGTGATAGTTACCACTGTACTACCGTGTAGACTGGACTGAACTAGAAGTCCAATAGGAAATCTTACGGAGGTCAGTATCACTTCTACTGAAGGAACATCAAGAATGTGCCTCTTGTCTTACAGATGGGCAGATGAATCAAAGGGCTATTTCACTCAGAAATAACTTAATTCACAGCTAAGAAACTGATGAACAGTATTTATTGTGAAAATGACAGAGAGACTGTGGGTACAGTGGAGAGTAAACAGGAATGTTTACTGTAGTGAGGTTTTATGACGTCTTTAGCAATATTCCTGAAATATCAAGGCAAGGAACAGCATAAATGGGCTTCACACTTTGTACCTGTGTGGGGACTTGAACCTGCGTCTTCGGCGTTAAGAGCAAACACTTCAACCCACTGTTTACAGTATAGGGAGCTGGTTGCTCAGAGCAAGGCAGCTAGGATATCTCATCTAGGCATATATCATTAGTTGAAGACACAAGTATAGCAGCAGCACTACCCTACATCACTACATCACTAGAGATGAACAACAAATGTACCCTGGTCATATGATGTCGTGGCAGCTTGAGGTAGGGGGCCAACGATGCTTCTGAGGGACCGTCCGCAATCTATGGCTAGGGGGGTGATGATTTTAATGGGGGTGGAGACAGAGAGACTGACTGACTGAGTTTGGTTTTATGCCACTTTTAGCAATATTCCAGCAACATCACGGCAGGGGACACCAGAAATGGGCTTCACACATTGTACCCATGTGGGGATTCGAACCCAGGTATTCAGCGCGACGAGTCAACGCTTTAACCACTGGGGTACTCCACCGACCCAGAGAGAGAGAGAGAGAGAGAGAGGAGAGAGAGAGAGAGAGGAGAGAGAGAGAGAGTCAGGAGAGAGAGAGAGAGGGAGGAGGGTGTCACGTAAACTTTGTAGGGGGGGCATTCACATTGTACATGCTTTTTCATAGATATCACCATCACCCCCCTAGCCATAAATTATGACGGTCCCTTACCACACTGGAAATATACTGGTGGGATTCGGTGCATAATATATCGATTCTGTGATGATTGGCACCTATATTTTCAACAGCTTTTCTAACTCAGCTGATGTCATGCAGACACATTGTCTAAAACCCAAGTTCAAGAACTTTATAAAAGAGGTTTTGCTGTGACAGGAAGGATTGCAGAAAGAAACCTCATTCCCTTTAATCTATATCTGTCTAATGTCATCAGCTGTCTAACGTTTGTAAGAGAGCTGACTCTGTGTGCTGGAAATTAGATGCCGGACTCTGAGGGTGCGGGTTCGAATCCCAGATGGGAATCAACCCAATAAAAGTACTAGAATCTCTACTTTACTGAGAAAGTGTAATCCCAAATATAACATGTCACATTTGACCAGTTTCTAAATGGCATTGTGTATTCATTTGGCTGTCAAGGATTTCATCCCAGTACTCCTGAGATCAATAGTTCTGGCAATATTCCAATTTGAGCATAATTCGATTCATTAAATAATCAAACACAGTAAAAATGACAAAAATTTGGTCATGAAAATATTTGGAAATTCCTGTAAGGATTAAGGAACAAATAATGTTCCTGCGTTGACTTCAAATGTTCGACCTAATGCTATTCAGCGAACATTGAGGGAATATGCAAGCGTGCATCATACATTTTTCTTGTCCGCCTCAGACACCAGACAGGAAATGTGACTGTGAACTATTCCGTTGATGATCCCGTCATTTCCTTCTGGCGTAGGTGGCTTTCCGACCCGCAAATAACCGTTAGGTTTCTTCAGTTCTCCCTGAGATGGAATATCTTCCAATGTTTCTGGGTGTGAACACACTTTCTCACCAACAAACATATCTTCTGTCTGTGCCATTTCAGAATTATCTGAAACAGTTTCACTTTTCGTGTTTTTCCTTTTCCTCTTCCATCCGTTCCATCTTTTTGTATATTTCTTGATGGCATACTGAACAATGGCTATCCAGAACACCCAGCCTATGGCATAAATACACACGCCGCCAAATCGGCCAAAGAAATCAGTAGGTTGCTGAAAGTAGCTGTACAGAAGCACCGACCCGACACCGATCCTCAACATGCCAAAGGACACCATAAACAATATGTCCACAATTTCTCCAGTGATGGTGTGGTACTGTCCAGTCTCACGCAGAAACCAACGGAGCTGCAACAAGGGGTTGGTAACTTCAGCGCCACAGATGGTGGCGACAAGCTCGGTGCCATACTTCCCTACAACCAGGCAGACTGTCAGCCCAAATATACTGAGAGCATGATGGGCCATCATTGCTGGACCTGAAACAAACAGGTAACCATGGTAACCCAACACTGAATGATTATAACCAGTATAAGATATCAAATTCAAAATCTGATTTTTAACTGTGATACAGTAGCTCCCAGCATATGAGTGAGTGAGTATGGTTCTTATGCCACTTTTAGCAATATTCCAGCAAAATCACGGTGGGGGACACCAGAAATGGGCTTCACATATTGTATCCATGTGTGGAATCGAACCATGAGGCTACCCCACCACCCCTCCTAGCATAAGATATGAGGACATTTCCCAACACTGCCTGGTACCAATCATTTAAGACAGCCCTAATGTATGTACAAGTGCGAGTGGGTGAGTTTAGTGTCAGAGGCCCAGACAAGCTGCGTATCCGGGTAAAATACGCATGGAAAATGTCCAATTACGCATTGAAAAATAAATTGTTGCGTACCAATTACGCATTTAAAATGTTACATATGCAAAAAGTTTAAAACAAATGCGTACGGAATATATTTATAAAACTCGCTTGCGTAATGAAAAAGACATCGAATGCTATCAAGTTGTATTGATAGTATAGGACTAGTGTTGTACTGTCAGTATAGGATGAGTGATTTTTTTATGAAATCATTTCCATTATATTTAAGTTGGTTTTGATAAGGTATGACATAAGGCAGAACATACCTGCTTAGTAAACTTACTGAATGACATAATACTTAGGTGAGTAAAATGACTGAAATACGCACATATTTGAAAGCTGTTGGTAACGGAAAATGAAATACCCACTCAACATTCATAATACCCACTCCAAAAAGTACAGTGGGTACAGTACCCACATGAGCTAAATCTTATCTGGACCTCTGAGTGTTATGCAGCACTCAGCAATATTCCAGCTATATGGTGGCGATCAGTACACAATGCCATTTAGAAAGTGAGCTAATGAAACATATGTTATATTCTAGTACTTTTGTCGGGTTGAGTCCCACCCGGGATTCGAACCCACACCCTCAGAGTCAGGCACCTAATCGCCAGCACACAAAGTACTAGAATCTTTACTTTACTAAGAAAGTGTAATCCCAAATATACCATATGTTACATTTGATAACTTTCTAAATGGCATCGTGTAATTATAGCTTTCGGCCGTGGGAGCCGTGCCTATTTACACTTATCAGAGGGGTACACAAAGTCCACAGTCTAGACTACCAGCTGTCCGACTTTCATTTTTGTGGAAGTTGCGGTGGCTGAGCGGGGTAGACGGCTGGCTTTGTGTGCTGGGGATTAGGTGCCTGACTCTGAGAGTGTGGGTTCGAATCCCGGATGGGACTCAACCCAACAAAAGTACTAGAATCTGTACTTTACTAAGAAAGTGTAATCCCAAATATAACACATGTGTGGCGGTCTGTAAATAATCGAGTCTGGACCAGACAATCCAGTGATTACAGCATGAGCATCGATCTGCGCAGTTGGGAACCAATGATATGTGTCAACCAAGTCAGCGAGCCTGACCACCCGATCCTGTTAGTCACCTCTTACGACAAGCATGGGTTGCTGAAGACCAATTCTAACCCGGGGCTTCATGGGTCAATGTATGTTCAAATTTCAAACTGACTTAGATGTGAAATGAAGGAAACTAGGCTTAGAAAGCTGACATCTGATCCCCCCCAGATAAAAAAGATATCATTGCAGTCAGACTGAAAGGGACATAATGCCTCTGAATACGGAGTTTATCTCCCCCTGACAACCTCGCACAGACTGACCCTCGGTTTTGAAGTAGAGACACCAGGAGAAGTCGAAGATGAAGTAGCCGAGGCAGATGGACGTCGTCAGGTACTGGAGTGGTGTGTTCGGGCCTCCTGTGGGTGACATGTAGAATTAGACAGCAGCTCAAATGAAAGAAGTGTAACATGTGTGGCCAGTTCGCATGGACTGTACTATACTTTTTAAGTTTTAGTTTTACGCCGCACTCAGCAATATTCCAGCCATATGGCGGCGGTCTGTAAATAATCGAGTCTGGACCAGACAATCCAGTGATTACAGCATGAGCATCGATCTGCGCAATTGGGAACCGATGACATGTGTCAACCAAGTCAGCGAGCCAGACCACCCGATCCCTTTAGTCGCCTCTTACGACAAGCAAGGGTTACTGAAGGTTCATTCTAACCTGGACCTTCACAGGTACTATCCTCTTACAAAAAAGTAGGGGAAGCTGATCTTTCAATTTGGTTAGGAAGTATAAACGTGAACAAACGTTTCAAAGACAGACATCTTATGAATGCACAATCATTTCCCTCTATCATCACCCCTAAACACAACGCATGGGATGCATGTACACAATGCAGTAGCCCCATACATGTGCATGGTGTGTCATTCTTGATTTGACGGTTTTTAATAAGTCGATAAATCACTGAAGACCATTAATTTTATCAGTTATCTTGCATCACACAGTTATTAGCATTTGTTTCTAGCCGTTTTTAAAAAAAATATAATTTTTGGTGTGTGTGTGTGTGTGTGTGTGTGTGTGTGTGTGTGTGTGTGTGTGTGTGTGTGTGTGTGTGTGTGTGTGTGTGTGTGTGTGTGTGTGTGTGTGTAAAGAAATGAAAATTGTACACATACAAATTTCACGTCAAAATACACCAATCATCTTTCAATAGTGATTACTGTACAAACAACTATGGCCATGAAAAAGTGCAGGTGGTGAAGCACTCTCAAAACATTCAATATTATCACATCAACTTTGATGGACTCTGATATGTCTAACAATCTAGTTCCCCTAGTAGTTCCCCTACTTTTTTAAAGAGTAAAACACTGCACTATTTCAGGTACAGGGGGCCAAACACTGCACTATTCAGGTACAGGGGGCCAAACACTGCACTATTTCAGGTACAGGGGGCCAAACACTGCACTATTCAGGTACAGGGGGCCAAACACTGCACTATTCAGGTACAGGGGGCCAAACACTGCACTATTCAGGTACAGGGGGCCAAACACTGCACTAAACAGGGGCCAAACACTGCACTATTCAGGTACAGGGGCCAAACACTGCACTATTTCAGGTACAGGGGCCAAACACTGCACTATTCAGGGGGGCCAAACACTGCACTATTTCAGGTACAGGGGCCAAACACTGCACTATTCAGGTACAGGGGGGCCAAACACTGCACTATTCTACAGGGGGCCAAACACTGCACTTTCAGGTACAGGGGCCAAACACTGCACTATTCAGGTACAGGGGCCAAACACTGCACTATTTCAGGTACAGGGGCCAAACACTGCACTTTTCAGGTACAGGGGCACTATTTCAGGTACAGGGGCCAAACACTGCACTATTTCAGGTACAGGGGGCCAAACACTGCACTATTTCAGGTACAGGGGGCCAAACACTGCACTATTCAGGTACAGGGGGCAAAACACTGCACAATTTCAGGTACAGGGGGCCAAACACTGCACTATTTCAGGTACAGGGGGCCAAACACTGCACTATTCAGGTACAGGGGGCCAAACACTGCACAATTTCAAGTTTTGAAGTCATTGAAAAATTATTGAAAAACAGGAAAAACAATTTCCATCTTGTGTATTTATCCTTTGTATATTTGGGTTGCTCAGCTCCATTTGCTGTCATCGAAGATCTAGCGATATCATCACCTTAATAATTACAGATATTGTTGGACGCCTCACTGCTGATCTTATACTACAGTAGATCTATAGCTGTCTTAATAATTAAACATAACAAAATTAAAAAAACAACACAACAAAATGTAAAATGCACTTTAAGCTCTGTCTGATTAATCATGCAAAACAAAATGTAAAATGCATATTAAGCTGTCTTAGTAATTACACAAAACAAAATGTAAAATGCATATTAAGCTGTCTTAGTAATTACACAAAACAAAATGTAAAATGCATTTTAAGCTCTGTCTTAACTTGACAAAACAAAATGTAAAATGCACCTTAACGCTCTGATTTCAGAATAACCCCTTTAAATTACAAACTATACAAACAGAAGGTCAAATGATAAACAAGTTTGTTTGCTTGTTGTTTAATGCCGCACTCAGCAATATTCCATCTGTATGACAGCGGTTTGTAAATAATCATTTCTGGACCAGACAATCCAGTTTGTAAATAATCATGACTCTGGACCAGACTAACAGGTTACTAATCCAGTGATCAACAACATGAGCATCGATCTGAATCATGAATTAGTGGGTAACCGTAAGCCTCTTATGACATGTGTCAAACCCGGATCCAAGTCAAGCAGGCCTGACCACAGAGGTTACTTGTCATATCTTCCTCTGAACCTCTGTTCTAATATGACCATATTTCCGGTTCTCGTAAAAGTCCCTGGCGGCAAAGATCGCGAACACAAATTATCTCCCTTCTTTCTATCCAATCAGAACATGTGTTACATGGATTCAACTTGACTAACACAAGAAATGACAAATATCCCCATCTGCGGGGACTTGTGTTGATATTACAATAAGGCGTTTAATGGCTATCTTCACGAGGGCGATGAAGACTGATCCGCCAAACATGACTGAGTTCTGTATGGTAGTGGAGTGATGCTGAGTCATCACTGCACAACTACATCTGATGTATCCACGGTATGTATGACGTTAGAACAGAGGTTACGTAGGAAGATATCGCCTCTGTATCGCAGCTGTGATCCTGACCTGCATCAGTGAAAGGCCAGGGTCCCTGGATGAAGCTGCACCAAGCTGCTAAAGAGGTGATGAGGATGGCATGAACGGTGGTGACGGAGCGACAGTGCCACTCACAGCGCCGCCCCGGGTTGAGTCGACACAGCAGCAGATACAACAGCATCCACAACCCCAGGCAGGACAGGACCAGCAACAGCGTCATTGTCGCATCTGAAACACAAACACAATCTTACTGGGATTGAAATAGTGCTTAAATTGCTACCATGGCACGGAAAATACTGAACTGACACGGATAAATATTTTCAGTGTGTCCTTGCAGGTCGCTTAATAAGCCTGACAATTTGTCCCATCACATATCTGATACAGATAAATCCTACATGGAATTGGAACTCAGTGTCCAAGATTAAAACACATACATAATACATTATTGACATGAGATACTGACTTAAATAATTCCAAAATTATGTAGAAATCCTAAATTTGCAGATGGCACTTAATTAACTGATTATCATTCTAATCTGTAAGGTAATAATATGGTGGTGTCATGTTATGTCCGTTATAAATAAATATTGCAGTTTATAGCAATTGTGTTATAACTGTTCCAGTCATTTCTGTAGTTAACTGTCGATGTCATTCACACGAAACACTTCAGTTCAGTGGCCGACATTTGGCAGAGTTTGAAATTATGACTAATTGTGATTAGGACTCTTGACATTTCCTTGTGGACGGCAACTTTTACCATTTATAAGAGTGCATCTCAGTGTTAGATCATTTTCATCAGATAATTTTCAACAAAAGTTAATTTCTAATCCTAATTTGGCCCCCAAATCTGCAGCAAACGACAGTAGAAATTCACAATTTGAATTCAAAATTTCCCATAAAATTATATTAACTTAAAAAAAATTGCTGTTTTAAGTAAAGCATTTTTCCAAGACAACTTGCCTGTGTTTAGTGTGGAATCCTTGATAAATCCCAGTATAAAGCACAGTTGTCATCTCTTAGTCAAATGACATGTATATTTAACACATTACAATAAGATCTTAGCAGTCATGAACATTTACTAGCATGTGGAGTTATCAAATTTGCCAGGTGGGACAATAAGGCAATGAAAGCAAAAACATCCTTGATATATCAGCTGATATATTAGAGCACTTTGTTTTAATTAACTCATGACAAAAATACTTCATTATCATATCACACGACCAGAATTTAAATATTTAAACACTGCAGTTCTGAAGAAAAATGTGTTTTGCCTCTGACACATAAACCTACTATAACCAATTTTCATGTCAAAACCATGTGACATAAGACATAGTGCAGAAAGGGACTACAACATGGCATGGTTTCATAGATTTTATAAACTGGGTTGAATCCACACTTTTCTCACAGGTACTTGCCTCATATTCTGGGATTCAGGTATATTTCTAGGGCACTGACTGACTGTCATAACCTGTATACAACGATGTCAGAGAGATTGGCTATGATAAGCAAGACGGTCAATTCCAGGTTGAAAGATCATGAAAATGTCAAAATTAAAGATATTTCTTTTTGTGAATCAGTGTATCCTCAACACAAGTTTGCATAACAGACACAATCTCATCCCTGCTCAGTGTGCTTTCCACATTCAACCATCTCCCTTTAGATTTCTTTAGTCACAATACTAATAATAGTGAGCTCAATTAAACCTGACAATCATGCCACTCAGTTTATTAAAATCTAGGAAGAAGCTAGTTAGTTACCTACTTGAGTTCACCTTGTCAGTGAGTCGACGTATATATCATGTACATATCAAGTATGGCATATTTACATGCCCGATACATGAGTTAACCAGACCATTCAAGCTGTATACGTCATGTCCATATCACCTGTTATCAACATCAGCTGGGATCATACTATCTTCTGTTATCAGTCACCATGGTCACTGGCCTAAGGCCAAACTGAAGAAATATTCAAAGTTCTCCTCCTCACATAATGTTTTGTCCCTTATCATCCCATCTGATCCTCAAACATGTCAAAGTAACATAATGATACCAACTTAGGAAAAATAACGTATTTACGGAATATATTACATCCCATTTTAGAAATAGTCTCTCAACTTCCTGAGTAAGGAGCCATGTTGCTCATGATGTTTCATTTCTTGCACTCTACAGATGGCCGGTATGTAAGAGGCTAGAAACTTTGCCATGGGGTAATGAGTGAGTGAGTGAGTATGGTTTTACGCCGCTTTTAGCAATATTCCAGCAATATCACGGCGGGGGACACCAGAAAAGGGCTTCACATATTGTACCTATGTGGGGAATCGAACCCGGGTCTTCGGTGTGACAAGCGAACACTTTAACCACTAGGCTACCCCACCGCCCCGCCAAGGGGTAATGGCATGAGGTTGCCAAAGACAGTTGTTCCATGTACTGGCATGTGAGTGAAAGCGAATGTTTCTTTGGGATGTGACTCTGCTGTAGTCTCCCATAAACAAACTTTAAGCAATATTGCAATATAAATGTCTATAACTGAATCTAGGCCAGACAAGTGGGTGGCTGATAGCTGGCAATGTCAAATATTGACTTCATTTATTATAACAACTTGAATTTATTGCAAGTAAACTTAATACTGTGAAAATACAGTATTTATCATGGGACCTTCTCAAGAAGTAATAAACTTACTTAAACATATACATGATCACTTACTAGTCTGGCAAAGTTGAAAGGATCCTAGCTGGAGTTTTAGCGAGTGATTTGTCATTTCAGAATTTGTTTTGTTTACGTCGGATATGAACATTAGAACTAGACTCAGTATTTCAGTGTGCTTGCTACAATATAGACAACATAGTGGACAAGCATTATCAGCTATTACTGAGATAAGAAATCCCAAGGGGGGTTGAACTATGGTCCATATAACGAAATGTACACTACCACAGACCGGCTCATCTGAATATAATTCTATACTTACGGTAGATCTAAGATCAGTAAAGTGTCAGGAACTATAAAGTGGACATTCCATGAAGCAAATATGTTGTCATGTTTGGCATTACCTGTAGACTAGAACCACATTACGTACAAGTTGTTGCGAAAGCAACAAGTTTGTTTTCTATATGGAGGCTGCCATCTTGGTTACACCGATTAAGATAATTCGACTCATTGGTTGGTTAAAAAATGAATATCTCAACAGTTTCGAGAAAGATTTAATATTTACAGATGTGCACATATATGACGATGTGCTTTATATTGAAATCCTTTCATGGTTTGGCACATAAAAATAAAATTCTTGTTTTTCGGAAACACATTTTCGCTGCTGGTCTGTAATAACATTGTGACGTCATTGTCAATAACGGGCGTTTACCTGGAAACACAGATACAAATATGGTGATGAAAATTCACACATCTCTGAATCAATAATGGTAAGTGTGCATTTAAATCCACCTATCCAGAAGACTGCGCACTTGCGTGGTTGACTTTGTTTTGTTCGTTACCATTAATTGTCATAATCCCGCAGACAGCTTATTTAGGCGGTATATTCAAAAACGAACACAACGCACTCCTACCCTAATGTGTCCCGTACTTCTATCTGTTCCATAGCCTAATGCGACTAATTACGATGTGTCCTATATTTTCATAACACTCTATCCCGACCTACATATTTCAAAGTGTATATTAATGATTATTTTGACAATATTTTCATAGAAGTCGTACGTGTACAGTTTCTGAACATATTCTTAAGTGATAATGACAGCCCCGTTACTGGCCTTGGTGTATTTATTATACAATAACAGACACGATCTTCTGATTTTAACCATAATAATTATACTTCAGATAACGGAAGTTACATTACCTCTGAAGTAAATTCTAACCAGTGCAAAATAACTGCTTCAATCGTGATTATTGAAAACATGGAAAAATCAACATTGGCCCTCCCTAAAAAACTATTGGCTTGAATTAAATGCATCCATTAGTAAATGTAATTTTAATTACCACATTCATACAAAATCCAAATGCTACATATTTGATGAAATGTGGCCCTAATGGATATCACTGAAGAGGTTGTTGGATGTCATTATGGAACTTCTGTTTTCGAGTGTGTTAATGTTTTGATGATCAGTTTCAAATATCCATTTAGCTCTGCTGTTTTCAGCTTTATTTTCCTATGTTTCAAGTAGTGTAGTGTTGAGTGTCACTCTTTAAAGGGCTGTATTGGCGTATATACAGATAAAAAATATGCACGATACGGTTGGAAATAATTTAGAAAACGTAGCAGATACGCACCACAGCAATGGTGTACAGTCTTAGAATCATTTACAGACGTATTTATCTGAAAAAGTATTGTTTTGTTGTTTATTGACATGCTTATACAAGAGTAGCAATGAAATACACAATGCCATTTTAGAAAGTACCAGAATCTGTACTTTGCTAAGAAAGTGTAATCCCAAATATACCATATGTTACATTTGACCACTTTCTCAAATGGCATTGTGTATTTCATAGCTTTCGGCCGTTGGAGCCGTGCCAATTAACACTTATCAGAGGGGTACCAGTTGTCCGACTTCCATTTTTGTGGAAGCCGCGGTGGCTGAGCGGGATAGGCGTCTGACTTTGTGTTCTGGAGATTAGGTGCCTGACTGAGGGTGCGGGTTCGAATCCCGGATGGGACTCAACCCAAAAAGTACTAGGATCTGTACTTTTACTAAGAAAGTGTAATCCCAAATATAACATAATATGTTATATTTGGGATTACAGTAAAGACAGTAATAATGTTGGTGCATGTATGAAATGAAACACAAGATTACTGATACGCCATTAAATTCCTAACTCTAAATGTACTCTTAAAGCTTTTCCAGTACCCCTATATTGAAAAAATAAGGTAATGCGTGACTCTGATGTTTAAAAGTATCTGGAGCCCTGATCAAACATACATGGGAAATAGTGTCCAGGAAATACTAGGATGCATGTGTATCCATCACTCTTACAGTCATCTCTGCATGTTCATAATGTGTTTCAATAAATATTTTGTGTTCAACAGATTCTACCATGAGTTCACCCTATAGTGAGCACCACAAACATAGAATACATTCACCGAATCAACGACGATCACCCGCAGGCACCATGAATGTGGCTGAGAAAATGTACTGGCGGCAAAAGCTGCCCCTTGGCTTCCAGTATTACCTGGAGCGAATGTCACGCAGCATCATCAGGGGGCTGCCAGACAATGTCTATGAGTTTGCAGCTGTATACCTGGAGGAAAAACTTGTAGAGAGAAATGGTGAGTTGGTCTAAATACTCGCTTGTTTAAAATAAATGGTACACACTCACCAATATCTCCATGAGACACAAAGCACCTCTGGTGGAGATAGCCTACAAGACAAAGAAACCACCCTTTATTTTAGAGGAGTGGTGTGAAATAGTGCCTTTAAACAAATGTTTGAAGAAGAAAATGGACAGATCTTAATCCTATTCTTGCCTTTCTGTGTCATTCCTACACAAATTGTTTCGCATGTTTCAGCTGAGATCCAGCGCCTGCCAGATGTTACCTACTTTGACAAACTAAAGAAGAAATATACCCTTGCCCCATCCGAACAAGGTGACGTAACACAGAGGGAGAGAACTCTCCAGGAGAGAGGTGAGCAACACATGTTTCATTCCACCGTCATACTGGCGTCAAGGCAAGGTTTCATGCATATGCTTTTATGAAATCACTGGGCAGAGTTGCAGCCATTACCACTGCCAGAATTGTTCGACCGTGGCTTCAGATCCCAGATTCGAACTTGACTATGATTCTTGGTTTGTTTGTACCATAACCATTGTGAATGGTTTCACCAAAGTGGTCAGACCTGTGAAGATGAGCGTTAGAATTGGTCTTCAGCAATGATGCTTGTCATAAGAGGCGACTAATTGGATCGGGTGGTCACGCTAGCTGACTTAGTTGACACTTGTCATCATATCCCAGTTGTGTAGATCGATGCTCATGCTGTTGATCACTGGTTTGTCTGGCCCAGACTTGATTATTTACTTATAGCCATATAGCTGGATCATTGCTGAGTGTAGCGTCAACAGACATACCAAAGTGGTCAGCATCTTTGATCTGCATCACTTCCAACTGGCCTCCAACGTCAAGCTGACCAGCCTGATATAGCTGATACTGTTCAAATTGACCTTAAACCCAGCTAGCTCATTCAATCACTCAGAGTGGTGAGGATCAAGTGGTAACCATGGAAATACAGATGTAGAGCCAAGTTACAATTGGGAATATGCCCTTGAACCTGAGCACGTATGTTTATGTATATCACACTGATAGAGTGGTGTCACACACAAGTTACAATCAGGAATATGCCTTTGAACCTGAGCAAGTATGTTTTTGTATATCACACTGATAGAGTGGTGTCACACACAAGTTACAATCAGGAATATGCCCTTGAACCTGAGCAAGTATGTTTATGTATATCACACTGATAGAGTGGTGTCACACACAAGTTACAATCAGGAATATGCCCTTGAACCTGAGCAAGTATGTTTATGTATATCACACTGATAGAGTGGTGTCACACACAAGTTACAATCAGGAATATGCCCTTGAACCTGAGCAAGTATGTTTATGTATATCACACTGATAGAGTGGTGTCACACACAAGTTACAATCAGGAATATGCCCTTGAACCTGAGCAAGTATGTTTATGTATATCACACTGATAGAGTGGTGTCACACACAAGTTACAATCAGGAATATGCCCTTGAACCTGAGCAAGTATGTTTATGTATATCACACTGATGGAGTGATGTCACACAAGTTACAGCTAGGAACATAATGATTGACATGAATATACACGCAAGCTGTGTTTCTTCCTGGGAAGTCACGTGCATGAAGCTGCAGTCGATAGTTTCGGATGACTAATACCCTGCAATGGATAATATACTTTAGGCTGATTATCTGAAATTACCATCTTAATTTCACCATCATTAACTTAATGATGAGATACAGGATAACATTTTGTAAATTGATTTGTGATATTCCTGCAACAAGTGTTCTGCTTTCAGAAATATCACTGTTTAAGCCAATCTTTGATAGCGCAGGTTAATTTATCGCCACTGTTAACCGCATTCCATTGGGTGTACAGGGCGGATCCAGGATTTTGGAGCTGCGTGCGTGCTGCGGCGTGCAATGCGTGTGTGTGCACTCATATATATCATAGGGCTGCGCAATATAACTGGTTTAATTTATATACCGGTATTTACCGGTTCAGACATGAAAACGATACGTATTGCGATACGCTGATTGAAAACCGGTATTTTGACATTCATTCGGAAAACTTCGTAACACTCTGAAATCTTCGGATATTTCCGTTTTATAAATTGTTCCTTTCCTTGTTTCATTTGTGCCAAACATTATTTACATTTTTATTTTGTCATGATTAAAAGTTTTTATTAATGCCTAATCAAGCATTGTGATTTTGTTGTGTTTTTACTTTATAAATCAAGCATTAACTCGATTATACATATTTTTTGTTAAACAAAACTTCTTGCAATATATTGCAATACATATCGCAATACATGCTTTCGCATAGCAATTTATCGCAATATGAAAATTCCTTGCAATACCCACCCCTAATATATCGTGAAGTGAACACCCCTGCACCCCCTACTGCATCCGCCCCTAGTGAACTAGTAGATGAAAGCAGTGTCAGTTTTGGACTGATTATTATCATTGTTGCTTCATGCTGATTGGCCGGTTTGTTCCTCGTGTTCAATTGTGATCATATTGACGAGGACAGATAAGTACTTTAAGATGGCTTCAGTTGTTCAAGATGCTACAAACGGTTTTATGTGATGTGTGTCAACAATAGACTGTCTGGGCTGATGTCTCCACTTGTAAACAGGGAACTGACACTTTTCTACTGCTTTTCTGAAAAAATATGCTCATGATTGCATTTCTTCCTGACTATACACACATTCCTACTGACCTTTATAGGATTGAATAATGATGAAGCTTCAGTCCACCTCAGAAAATGCTTGATTGATTTCTATAATAACAGGAATAGAAATGCAGCTTTTGTCGAAGGGTGCCATAGGGCACCAGACCGATAAATTTGGTGTGCCTCTGTGAAAATAAGTGTGCCCATACCTTTATAGTTTTGATGATCAATTTAAACTTAAAACATCACACCAATTGTGTCATTTCAATTTATTGTTCAATAAATCAGTAAACATCATGTTCACCTGTAAATGAAAGAGTTGGATGTCCTGAACACTATGATGACTGCATGAGTAGATAAGCTTCATTTGTCCTGGACCCATAAACTAACCACAAACTATGTTATCATCCAAACAGGATTCCCTGTATGCGTATTGGCATTCAAAATGGCCACACTCATGCGACTGATATACAGTTTTATGCTGTGCAAAGATAGGTACAAAAATAGTTTTGAATCCTTTGAGTTGGTCAAATTTATCGCATTTTCCATTAAATGAATCATGGTGAGTATTATTTTGGTAATTTTAGTCGCCCCTTCAGGGCACATTGAAAATATTTTCTTCCATGCCATATCAATACTTAAGGTACCATAACACGCAAATGGGTACTACTCCATGGGTAATATTTTCACCAGAAACTGCTGAGATGAAAAAGACTATTTCTCAACATCTGGTCATACTGATTTATTAGTGATTCCAAGTCAGATTTGTCCCTATTGTGTATTTATTGACTTCCCTGCTACATATTCTGATCCAGCATATTCCCTTGATGTGTCCTATTTCCTGGCTCACACAAACATATTATTGATAAATATGGTCAAATAAACTACATGACTCACGCTTACAGCTGTCTTCCCACTTTGCTGAAATTGATAAAGCGACCTTCATATATAAGTAATAGGTTATTGAAATAACTGTAAACCTATACAATCTGAGCTTTGAGTCATTCTGATGCATAAACCATGTCACCCAGTTTGTGCCAGTGCACTGTTTCATCAATGAGTGGTTGCTGGAATATTGCAATGGAGGCTAGGCGATGCAGGTGCATGACATTACTGCTGGTTCTAACACATGTGCAAGTGTATGGCTGTAACTGTATCGTGCTTCCACCTTAAACAATACAATGGCACATTAACCTCTGGCTACTTGGTCGCTTGCTGATTCTTTAAAACTATGGTATACTTTTTTGTCTAGAGACATAGGTATAATAATACATATAGGTAATGTAAAGTAGTAATTAGCCGCCCATGTCACGTAATTTATCACTGTCAGCGGAATAGAATTAGTCATGGATGATTATTATGTAACATTATATACACAATGACATCATTTCCCCCATTTATGTTGTTACACATGCTGTAATATTCTGGACTGATCGGTATTGTTCTGGGAATGTTCTCTCTCTCTCTGTGTGTTGAGGAAAGTCATGTGTGTCTCTCTGGGGTACATAAACTGTGTGTGTGTGTGTGTGTAGGTATGTACGTGATGTGAGTGAGTATGGTTTGGCGCCGCTTTTAGCAATATTCCAGCAGTATCACAGCGGGGTACACCACAAATGGTCTTCACACATTGTAGCCGCATGTGGGGAATCAAACCCGGGTCTACAGCGTGACGAGCGGACGCTTTAACCTTAAGGCTACCCAGCATCCCTTCCTAACCAAGAAAATGTAATCTTTCATTTCCAGTCTTGAACCCGTGACTCTGCAGGCCTAAACCAACGGTCACACAAAAACCGTGACATTGGATCCTTCAGTTGTACTATATTACTTCATACAACTGCAAGACAATACACCAGAATTACACAAATTCCCAAAACTTCATTCTCGAGTGCATATTATTGTATATAACCTAAATACAACGGCAAGATTAGCAAAACGTCCCTTCCACCCCGTTGCGTTCCTGAATGTAATTACAATGCAGCTCTGGTCTTGTATTGGAACTGTATGTAGAGTTGTGACTTGCTTGGTGTCGGTGTTCAGTGTGACATCCACATGCAGGTCACATTGACACCGAGTGGGACAGTGAACTTTAAACAAGCTAACCACCATTGATAGAGCTCCTTCGCATTGTCCTGATTCGGTGGTTGAAGAACAACCACATGCCGGATGTCTGATCCTGTACATAGTGCAGTCTGGTTAATGGCCACATAACTTCATCACACAACACAATCTTCGAACATTTGATCTTTCAGCTTGGTTTTCAGCGTGACTAGCGGACGCTTTACCCACTAGGCTACCCCACCACCCCTGTTCGTGATGTATGTTCTGTATATATATGTTCTGTGGGTATATGTGTTCGCTTGGTTCTCTGGGTTTTAGTTAATATATTTGTGAACATATGTTCTCTGTGTAGGAACGCTACCTGTGAATATATGTTCTCTGTGTAGGAACGCTACCTGTGAATATATGTTCTCTGTGTAGGAACGCTACCTGTGAATATATGTTCTCTGTGTAGGAACGCTACCTGTGAACATATGTTCTCTGTGTAGGAACGCTACCTGTGAACATATGTTCTCTGTATGTGTAAGTTTTTGTGTTTAAAGGTTCTGTTGTGTGTTCGTCTTTTTCGGTCCTTGGCTGCTTAACCATAAACAGTTCGGGTCGAACTTGGGTATAGCCCACGTTATCGATTTACTTCAGCCCTCCTTTATATCAC